ACACACACAGTGAACACACACACACACACACACAGTGAAACACACACACACACACACACACACACACACACACACACAGTCATACACACAGTGAAACACACACACACACACACACAGTGAAACACACACACACACACACACACACACACACACAGGGTTAATCAATATATAATCCACTGATCAATAACATTGTCAGAACTTTACTATCTGACAGTCCAACAGACCTGTCGGTGGTATAAACCTGTCTGTCATATAACCTGTCTGTGGTATAACCCTGCCCGTGGTGTAAACCTGTCTGTGGTATAACCTGTCTGTGGTGTAAACCTGTCTGTCATATAACCGGTCTGTGGTATATCCCTGTCTGTGGTATAAACTGTCTGTGATATAACCTGTCTGTGGTATAAACCTGTCTGTGATATAACCTGTCTGTTGTATAAACCTGTTTGTGGTATAACCTGTCTGTGGTATAAACCTGTCTGTGGTATAAAACTGTCTGTGGTATAAACCTGTCTGTGGTAGAAACCTGTCTGTGGTATAAAACTGTCTGTGGTATAAACCTGTCTGTGATATAACCTGTCTGTGGTATAAACCTGTCTGTGTTATAACCTGTCTGTGGTATAAACCTGTCTGTGGTATAAAACTGTCAGTCATATAACCTGTCTGTGGTATAACCCTGTCTGTGGTATGAACCTGTCTGTGATATAACCTGTCTGTGGTATAAACCTGTCTGTGATATAACCTGTCTGTGGTATAAACCTGTCTGTCATATAACCTGTCTGTGGTATAAACCTGTCTGTGGTATAAACCTGTCTGTGATATAACCCTGTCTGTGGTGTAACCTGTCTGTGATATAACCCTGTCTGTGGTATAAACCTGTCTGTGATATAACCTGTCTGTGGTATAAAACTGTCAGTCAGTATAACCCTGTCTATGATAAAACCGGTCTGTGGTATAACCCTGTCTGTCATATAACCTGTCTGTGGTATAAACCTGTCTGTCATATAACCTGTCTGTGGTATAAACCTGTCTGTGTTATAAGCTGTCTGTGGTATAAACCTGTCTGTCATATAACCTGTCTGTGGTATAAACCTGTCTGTGTTATAAGCTGTCTGTGGTATAAACTGTCTGTGGTGAGGTGCAGTGAGACACCTTCTGTGAGTTGAAGACGCTGTCCAGTGGAGCGACCTCACAGTCTTTATGAGCTCCGAACACTTTACAGAGAGAACAGGTGGGAACGCTGCAGGTCACACAGTAGATATTGATCTTCTCCTCCTCATGCTGATCACACATCGGCTGCTCAGCCTTCACCTCAGGGACCGGTCTGCTGCTCACACAGACAGACAGACAGACAGACAGACACACACAGACAGAGAGTAAATAATGTATATATATATAATATATAATATCTGTGTGTATTGTTTGAGTGTGTTTTCCTTCCAGCTGGAGTTCGTCCTCGTCCACAGAACGGCACATTACTGAAATAGTCCAGCTGCTGTCTCACTGACCCACATTTAAAAATAGAGCCAGGGTCACAGCTAACCGCTAACCGCTAACACACACATGTCACCTTTATCAGATCCACTGTAAACATCCTGTTGACCAACATGGAGATCGCTTTCATCTGTGTATCAATACATGTTAGCCTAGCTTAGCACAAACACTGAGAGCAGGGGGAAACTGTAACCCAACAGAAGCTAGAGGCTAACTATCACTGACCTAGAAACTAAGCTAATTGGACTTAAGCTAACTCTTAGCTAACAAGGTCCAGAGGGTATTTCTGACTTAAAAGGGACATAGAAGCTAACAGGAGCTAGAAGCTAACTCTTAGCTAACTGTAGAGGTGTGTAGAGTTGTGTAGAGGTGTGTAGAGGTGTGTACAGGTGTGTACAGGTGTGTAGAGGTGTGTAGAGGTCGTGTAGAGTTGTGTAGAGTTGTGTAGAGGTGTGTACAGGTGTGTACAGGTGTGTAGAGGTGTGTAGAGGTGTGTACAGGTGTGTAGAGTTGTGTAGAGTTGTGTAGAGGTGTGTAGAGGTGTGTAGAGGTGTGTACAGGTGTGTAGAGGTGTGTAGAGTTGTGTAGAGTTGTGTAGAGGTGTGTAGAGTTGTGTAGAGGTGTGTAGAGTTGTGTAGAGGTGTGTAGAGTTGTGTAGAGTTGTGTAGAGTTGTGTAGAGGTGTGTAGAGGTGTGTAGAGTTGTGTAGAGGTGTGTAGAGGTGTGTAGAGTTGTGTAGAGGTGTGTAGAGGTGTGTAGAGGTGTGTAGAGGTGTGTAGAGTTGTGTAGAGGTGTGTAGAGTTGTGTACAGTTGTGTAGAGGTGTGTAGAGTTGTGTAGAGTTGTGTAGAGGTGTGTAGAGTTGTGTACAGTTGTGTAGAGGTGTGTACAGGTGTGTTACCTGGTGTTTTCCTGCTTGTACATGTCGATGATGTTCTCCACCAGCAGGTTCCTCTGCAGTCCGTACACTCCGTGGCGATCCAGAACCACCTCATGACGGCAGGACGGGCAGCGGAAACGACCACCAGACGTCACCGTGGAGCCGCTCCTCGTCGACAGGTAGGGATTGGACGCCTGCAGGGGGGTGGAGCATCACACAGGTAGAGGGGTTCATAACACCTTGTGTGTGTGTGTGTGTGTGTGTGTGTGTGTGTGTGTGTGTGTGTGTACCTGGAACACGTCGTTGGCACACTTGCGGCAGAGGTTGTGCTGACAGGGCAGGATGACCACCGGCTTGGTGAACATCTCCAGACAGATGGGACAGATGAGCTGCTTCTCCAGACTGTCCATGACGCTGAGGGACACGGAGGAGACAGCGTCACCTGGACAGGACGAGGAGGACGGGGGAGGACGGGGGAGGTGACCCAGATGAAACAAAACAGAGGAATAATGGAGCAGAAGGAGCAGAGAGGAGCGCTGTAGGCCTGTGGACGGCAGAGTGAGGAGCTCGGTCTATTTTTAGACGGACAGACGTCAGCCGTTGTCGTGCCGACGTGCCCTTATATGTCCTTATATGTCAAAGGTCACAGGGAGACATGACAGAGCAGAGAGGAGGGGGAGGAAGGGGAGTGACTTTATTAAAGGAACGGTCCACAGTATCAGAGCAGGAGGAGAGCTGAGGAGGCTGCAGCGCCTCCTGCTGGAGGAAAAGTACCAGTTCAACAAAATACTGCAGTAATATCAGTTACAGTTAAAGTACTGCAGTAATATCAGTGGACTCTGTGTTGTGGACTCTGTGTTGGACTCTGTGTTGGACTCTGTGTCGGACTCTGTGTTGGACTCTGTGTTGTGGACTCTGTGTTGGACTCTGTGTTGGACTCTGTGTTGTGGACTCTGTGTTGGACTCTGTGTTGGACTCTGTGTTGTGGACTCTGTGTTGGACTCTGTGTTGTGGACTCTGTGTTGGACTCTGTGTTGTGGACTCTGTGTTGGACTCTGTGTTGTGGACTCTGTGTTGGACTCTGTGTTGGACTCTGTGTTGTGGACTCAGTGTTGGACTCTGTGTTGTGGACTCTGTGTTGGACTCTGTGTTGGACTCTGTGTTGTGGACTCTGTGTTGGACTCTGTGTTGGACTCTGTGTTGTGGACTCTGTGTTGTGGACTCTGTGTTGGACTCTGTGTTGTGGACTCTGTGTTGGACTCTGTGTTGTGGACTCTGTTGGACTCTGTGTTGGACTCTGTGTTGTGGACTCTGTGTTGTGGACTCTGTGTTGGACTCTGTGTTGGACTCTGTGTTGTGGACTCTGTGTTGGACTCTGTGTTGGACTCTGTGTTGTGGACTCTGTGTTGGACTCTGTGTTGGACTCTGTGTTGTGGACTCTGTGTTGGACTCTGTGTTGTGGACTCTGTGTTGTGGACTCTGTGTTGGACTCTGTGTTGGACTCTGTGTTGTGGACTCTGTGTTGTGGACTCTGTGTTGGACTCTGTGTTGGACTCTGTGTTGTGGACTCTGTGTTGGACTCTGTGTTGTGGACTCTGTGTTGGACTCTGTGTTGGACTCTGTGTTGTGGACTCTGTGTTGGACTCTGTGTTGTGGACTCTGTGTTGGACTCTGTGTTGTGGACTCTGTGTTGTGGACTCTGTGTTGGACTCCGTGTTGTGGACTCTGTGTTGTGGACTCTGTGTTGTGGACTCTGTGTTGTGGACTCGTGTTGTGGACTCTGTGTTGTGGACTCTGTGTTGTGGACTCTGTGTTGGACTCCGTGTTGGACTCTGTGTTGGACTCTGTGTTGTGGACTCTGTGTTGGACTCCGTGTTGTGGACTCTGTGTTGTGGACTCTGTGTTGGACTCTGTGTTGTGGACTCTGTGTTGTGGACTCTGTGTTGGACTCCGTGTTGTGGACTCTGTGTTGTGGACTCTGTGTTGTGGACTCTGTGTTGGACTCTGTGTTGTGGTGGGTGTTGGTCGTTTGTAGCCGTTAGCGGACTCCATTTATAAGGTATGGTTAGCTACTGTTGCCCATAGAAACATATAAATCACATGACGTCGTTACAGGTGGTTTTATTTTCCAATCTGACTTCAGTTCACAGTTTTACACCATCAAGCACAAATAAATAAATCAACAGAAACCAAAACATTATTTACATCAACCCAACAACAACAACAAATACTGAACCGTTATATATAATCAGTGTGTGAACGGTCTGTGTTAAGCCCCGCCTCTCCTTCGTCTCAACCAATCAGAGTGTTAGTTTAATAAAATATAATGATTTAAAGACTTACTGCACTGCAATGTATATAATCATTAAAGTAGCAGTCTGACCTCAGACCAACCAGAACATTTTAATCTGTTTCTGTTTCCACAGATCTTAACGAAAATATTTATGTCAGGCCAAAAGTATATTTACCAGTTTGTCCACATACTTTTGGCCTGTTTATGTAAATGACCCGTTAGGGCGCAGTGGATGGATCAGTGATGCGTTTCCTGTTTCCTGTGGGTTCATGAGAAGGTGTCTCCATATCTGCGCTGTCCGTCGGTGATCAGCTGAGTTTTCTCGCTGGCGTTCGTCGGCTGTTGAACGATCGGAGTTTCAACGTCTGCAGACAAACAACAGGAAGTTTTTAGTTTTATAGGCTTTATAGCTGATGCCCTCTGTCCACTGTTGCATGATGGGAAAAAAACCCATCAATGATCAATTGCAGATGTTATTAAAGTATAACTACAGTTCTGCTAGCTCAGCTAATGTAAACAATGCATCAGAGACCAGAGAGCTTTAAAATTCCTTAAACTGTGTAAATCATCCATTCTTCATACAATCTGTTTACACCCTTAAAATCCCATCCATAAGACCTTTATCAAAATAAAAGCCCAGGACTTCCTGTGGTCTCACCATGGTCGGGGTCATTGCGTATCTCTTCCTCCAGGTCATCAGGGGAGAAGTAGTCTGGCTCCGCCCCCTCACCTGTGGGCGTCGGCTTGAGTTTCCCACAGCAGCAGTTGCAGCAGCAGCAGAGACAGCAGCAGCAGTAACACCCGGTCAGGATCCCGCACACCAGGAACAGACCCTGAGACAAGAGACAGACCAGGATCCATTACATCACTGAGGACCAGACCAGAACCATAAGTCCGACCTGAAAACCACCCTGATGGTTCTAGAAGTTCAAATACATGATTTTGATTGGTCACAATTTACATTAAATCGACCCTTCCTAAGCACAGCCCCATTTACTCTGTGCTCCAATCACATTTCAGCAGTTTACCTTGTCAACTTTTCCTTTCCTGTACTTAGATATGCTATGTGCTAGGCTAATTTATGTTGCTAGTTAATCTACATCTATTGTTAGATAGTTAGCTAACATTTTGCAACATTAGCTATCAGGTGTAATTAGCTAACGATTGACTTAGACTAGCTAGCTAGTTAGCTAACTAATCTACATCAATCATTAGCTGGCTATTTAGTTAGCGTTCTGCTAATTGGACAGCTATAGCTGCTTGATGGGGGGACGTAACATCACCGACCCTCCCTAACTGCCTGTTTTTACAGGAAACACTTAAATATGAGGAAGTAACTGCTTCCTGTTTCCTGATTGGTCCGAGTCACATACACAGACACAATGTAAGCCCCGCCTACCTTGGCCCACCAGGTGGACAGCATGAAGTAGGTGTTGACATTGTCCTCTCCGAACTGCTGGGCCACGTAGAGTCCCAGAGAGCCGTACGAGTCGTAGATGTTCCTCTTGGTGAGATCGGACAGGACGGCGTGAGCGCTGTTCAGCTCCTTAAACTTCTCCGCCGCCTCCGGGTTGTCTGGGTTCTTATCGGGATGGTACCGCAACGCCAGCTTCCTACCACCACACACACAGACACTGTCACTTCCTGTGCTCGAGAGCTCTGTGAACAGCTAGTAAGTGGATCAAACTGCTGTCTGGATGACTGCGTGTCAGCTGACTGATCACCTGGTGCAGGTGAGTGGGTGGGGCTTACCTGTAGGACTTCTTGATGTCGTCATGGCTGCAGCCTTTCTCCAGAGCCAGGACCTGATACAGAGACTCTCCAGAGGTGGACAAAGTTCGCTGCCTCCCGTCAGACATCCTGGCACCATCACCTGTCGGTGGTTATCAGACTCCACAACTCCAATCCAAGGACAACGGCAGCAACAAGGGCGATGCTGAACCTGGAACACAGACAGCCTCAGTTAACCCACGCAGAGAACCAGAACTGTTGAGTATAAAGTTTAATGTTAGGAATGTTCAATCAGGGGCGCCCGGTTAGCTCAGTGGGTAGAGCTGGCGACCCATGTACTGAGGCTGAGTCCTTCCTGCAGAGGCCCAGGGTTCGAGTCTCCGACCTGCGGCCTTTCGCTGCGTGTCATCCCCACTCTCTTTCCTGTCTATCTTCGGCTGTCACTATCAAATGTTCAATCAGGGTCTCCAGCAGTTACACTGACGGATGCTAACCTGCATATGTTGGACAATTAGCATAATTAGCATTAATAATCAGCTATATGGACAGTATCTCAGCAGCTGATTGGCTGATTGGGACCAAACATCTGTGCTAGACTCATCTATGTTGAGCTAATCTACATCAATCGTTAGCTTACTAATTAGCTAGCTAGTTTGTTAGCATTTTCCTACAGAGGTACACACTAGCAAACTAGTTATCTAATCTAGGTCAATTGTTAGCCAGTTACATCTGATAGCTAATGCTGGCAGAAGGCTAGCTAACGATCTGCTTGGTCCATTTTCAAAATACAAAATGGACGTTTAAACCTGAAGTGTCCAAATTTTAGCTCCCAGTGGGCTGATTGTGATTCAGTCTGAGATTATAAATATGATCAGTATATTGGAGCTGCTAAAGCTCAGTGTCATTGGTGTGAATATCACGCTAATAACTGACATTTCTGGGTTCAGGTTGCTGACAGGTGTCACTTATCAGGACCTGTCCTGGAAAACCTGGAAATTTATAGACTAATTTTAAACATCTTGAAATTGGTGAAAATTACCAAATATCCTGGAAATAATCTCTGATGTCCTGGAACATTTGTATTGTATTTCAGTCGCCTTCATAGACATAAAAACAATAACAAATGAAGGGCCATCTACACTGCCTTCCTGAGGCTAACCACAGTAACTACACCAACAACTGACTGTGAGTTATGTGCTTATTAAATATGTCTTAAAAGTCTTTAAAATCATGACCAATTATTTGACCTTTGACCAAGCCAATATTGGGTTGCCATGGTGATGGTACCTGCTGTGTGTCTCACAGGCTTTATTTCATAGAGATTTTAGCTGCGACCACCTCTCATGATTATGCTTCTAGCGCCCAGACCGTTGGTCCTATCACTGAAAAGGGGATATATTTAGGAATTAGAGAGTCTGCTGAGCACATTTGGTGAGATGTGAGTGTAGAGTCAGAAATGTGAGCACACTCGCTGTTAGAAGAAGGCTGCTTCTGCTTCACTGAAATTTCTGCTCTTGATTAAGCTTTTGGAGCTGGAGTTGGACCTCTTGTCATTCAGGGCCGTTTGATTACAGAGCTACATGTGTACAACCAGCACAACTCTTCCTACATTTTGATGTGTAAATTATGTCTGCAGAGGGAAATTTGTGGGAATGAGAGCAAGTTGAGGAGTAAATGTACAATTAGCCGAACATTTATGCACAGCTTTTTTTGATTTACACGATAACAGTTTGGTGAATCACTAACAAAAGTCATAGCACACCTCTCCTGATATGTGCTGGCCAAGCTGCAGCACTAGATACACGCTGAAACACAAAATAAAAAGATTAAGTGTGGAGAAGATTAAACACTATTACTATTATTTTATCACTATTATCTGCTCCAATGGGCTCAGCTAATAATCCCCAGATGGAATCAGGAAGATTCCCTTTGTTTTAATTTCCACATTGTTCTGAAATTGTCCAGAATTCAGGATTTACAGACACTGAAGCCGCAGGGACTGCAGCTGAAGCTCAGAGACAGCGAGGGAGAGTGCAGTGACTGCAGTCGAAGCTCAGAGACAACGAGGGAGAGCTGCAGTGACTGCACTTACTGCAGGTTGGTTGGAGGTTATAGAGCGAGACTGAACTTAGACAATCTGTCACAAGATAAAACATTTAACAGTTAATTTTCAGTCCAAACTCAGTTTTGAGCAACGTTGTAGTTACTGTGTTTTGCCTTCAGAGGGCAGTAAACACACACACACACACACACACACACACACACATATATATATACTGCATGCGCAAATAAATGAAATTAATAAATGAAATTAAGTGGACAAGTGACCCCATCACTCAACCTCCACTGGGACCTGACAAAGACCCATATACAAGATCACACACACACTGAAGCAGCAACTGATGTGTCCCTGTTCTGTACAAAGACTCAGACCTTTATTCAACCTCTGGTGAACACACAGAGGACATAAAGAAACACCAACCTCGTACCTGACTGCGGCACACAATGCAACATACTCTCAGTGTTTCTGAACAATATCCTGCAGTAACAGGTGTGACAGCCTGTCTACAGACTCGCACTGGACACAGGTGAGACACATGATACACTGATGATGTCACACAGGTTCAACAACATATTCCTACCTGTAAAATAAAACAAATGTTAAAGTTCAGAGTCGGTACCTGTTGAAGCCTCGGAGCGTCCTGATGAATCGTCTACCTGTCTGCTGACTACCTGTCTGCTGACTACCTATTCAGGTGTTTGAACTGTTGTGGAGAGGATCTCTGACAGCCTCCATCAAACATTCAGCAGCCGCTCGGATCAGGTGACCACGAGCCGCCACGCCTGCTCAGGTTTCACTGAGACGCTCTGATGGACGCATTGTGACAGGTAGGGGAGGTCGCCATGGCAACCAGGTGAGTCTAAGAAACTGTGTGTGTGTGGGGGGGATACTCGCAGTATTAGCGGTACATTAGCATTAGCAGCAGTATTACAGTACTCGCAGTATTAGTGGTACATTAGCATTCAATTAAATTAAATTAAATTTTATTTGTATAGCGCCAATTCATAACAGAAGTTATCTCAGGACACTTTTCAAATAGAGCAGGTCTAGACCGAACTCTTTATAACATTATTTACAGAGACCCAACAGTACCACCATGAGCAAGACCTTGGAGACAAGGGCAAGGAAACACTGCCTGTTAAAAGGCAGAAACCTAGGACAGATCCTCCGGCTCTAGGTGGGTGGTCGTCTGCCTCGACCAGTTGGGGTGAGAGAGAGACAGAAACAGAGACAGACAGACAGACAGACAGAGGTGCACAGCAACAACAGTAGCAACAACTACACTAATAGTAGTGACTGATGATGATGAACATGAAGAAGATGATGACGACGACAACAGCATGATGGGGTCGGGGAAGTTGTCAGAGCCCAGAGTAGCGGGGAGCCAGTCAGTGAAAAACTTAACTGGATTCGCGCCTTCACAACCCTCCGGTAGATTAATGATTCGGATGTTGTTACGCCTGCTGTAATTTTCGAGTTGGTCAACTTTTTCAAGCAGGTATTCATTCTGTTTGCGTAGCTGAAGCATTGTTTTGTCCAGACCCACTAGTGTATCTTCTGCATCACTGATGCGGTTTTCAGCCTGCGTAACTCTCGTGACTAGACCGTCATTGTTTTATCCAGCTTCGTGATTGCATTATTAATCTCCGTCAGCTTGGAATCAAGTTGGGTAGCGAGTTTTTGGTTTCCTTCCCATATCTCTCTGAGAATGGGAGTCAAATTCTCACCTGACTTCCCTCCTTCTTCGCCATGCTCGTCATGTCGGATGCTAGCCTGTGGATGGCTAGAGCTAGCCTCAGGATTTTTCGCATCCATCATAAGTGCAGGACCAGCAAGGTAGTTTAGTTTCCTTTTGGATCTGGTATTCATGCACTTACCTGAAGTCAACTTTAGTTCAGAGTTTGGGTGGTATAAGCCAGTAAAAGGATAATTTTAACTAGGTGTTGTCGGTAGCTCTCGGAGGCACGTCCGTCTATCCTCGCTGCATCACGTGACCAAGAGTGGGCTTTTTAAGAAGGGGTTTAATTACAGCTACTTTAAAGGACTGTGGTACATATCCTGATAATAAAGAAAGATTAATCATATCCAGTAAAGAAGTGACAATTAAGGGTACGACTTCTTTAAGCAGCCTAGTTGGGATCGGGTCTAATAGACAGGTTGATGGCTTCGATGAAGGAATGATTGAAGTTAACTGATGAAGATCGATAGCAGAAAAACAGTCTAAATATACATCTAAGTTTACATTGACAGAAGTCCCTGAACTTGGAGAGCCACTGATAACTGTTGATGGCAGTTGGTGATTAGTTTTTTCTCTAATAGTAATAATTTTATTATAAAAGAAGCTCATAAAGTCGTTGCTACTTAAGTTTATGGGGATATGTGGCTCAATAGAGCTGTGACTCTCTGTCAGTCTGGCTACAGTGCTGAAGAGGAACCTAGGGTTGTTCTTATTTTCTTCTATTAGTGCTGAGTAATAGGCTCCTCTGGCATTACGGAGGGCCTTTCTATAAGTTTTAAGATTATCTTGCCAAATTGAGCGATATTCTGATAATTTGGAAGAGCGCCATTTCCTTTCAGATTTCCTAGCTATTTGTTTTAACTGGCGGGTTTGGTGGTTATACCAAGGTGCTAGTCTCCTATGTTTTAATAATTTCCTTTTTATAGGAGCGATAGAGTCTAATGTTGATCGTAGTGAGCCTGCAGCACTATCAACAAGATGATCAATTTCGGAGGGATTAAAGTTGTTATAGGACTCTGTTATATTCAGACATGGCATTGAATTAAACACTGAAGGAATCTCCTCCTTAAATTTAGCTACAGCACTGTCAGATAGACATCTGCTGTAGGAAGTTTTGCCTAATGGCTTATAATCTAATAGTATGAATTCAAAAGTTATTAAATAATGGTCTGATAGGAAAGGATTATGTGGGAAGACTTTTAAATGTTCAATATCAATGCCATATGATAGAACAAGGTCAAGAGTGTGATTAAAACAATGAGTTGGTTTATTTACACTCTGACAGAAGCCAGTTGAGTCTATCAATGATATAAATGCCTTAAAGACATAAAATACAAATACAGTACTCGCAGTATTAACGGTACATTAGCATTAGCATTAGCAGTATTACAGTACAAATAAAACAACAGCTGATGTTAGTCATGCTTCCTGTTTATTTTAGCTTCATCATCATTCAAATATTCACATTTTCTTCTTAATCAGCATGTTTGAGTTAATGTGTCTGGGATTGTGTCTGTGGTTGTGTCAGTGATTACGTCTGTGATTCAGCGATTGTCTGTGGTTGTGTCTGTGATTCAGTGGTTATGTCTGTGTCTGTGATTGTGTCTGTGATTCGGTGGTTATGTCTGTGATTCAGTGATTGTGTCTGTGATTCAGTGATTGTGTCTGTGATTGTGTCTGATTCAGTGATTGTGTCTGATTCAGTGATTGTGTCTGTGATTCAGTGATTGTGTCTGTGTCTGTGATTGTGTCTGTGTCTGTGATTGTGTCTGTGATTCGGTGGTTATGTCTGTGATTCAGTGATTTGTCTGTGGTTGTTTCTAACGAGGTAGAAACTGAACAGTTGTAGCTCCTCAGAACCCTGAAAGCACAAACAGGAAGTTAGAAGACTACGCCCCCTTCTGGAGGAAACAGGAGCTGGAAAAGTTCCCAGTGCTACTCTTATATATGTTATATATGTTATATATCATATTATATTGTATATAAAACAATATATATTATTATATATATGTAAAAGCTGCTGCTTCACATTTTAAATGTACAAAAATAAAAAGCTGAAGAGAATCAGTGATGATGATCAATAACTGTTTCTGTATTAATTATTTATAACAACGCTGACTGTTGAATTACACAATATAATATTATATATATTATTATATTAATATTAATATTATATATATTATATATTAATATTAATATTATATATTATATATTTATATTATATCTTTATAAGATATTAAACTGACAAAGAGCTCAGAATTCACCCCAAAGGGGGCGGGGCTTAATGCAATGGACTGCTAACATCTATTAAAGGAAATACTCACAGCTGATTGGACCAACACTGACAGGAAGCTGATTGGGTGAGGCAGCAGAGCGAGACCGTCGCCTGGAACAGTTCTGGAGAGGAAACAGAAGTAATCAGACTTTATTAATTATTACTACATTACGTGAATCCAGTTCAGACCCTGTGGAAGCTTTTCCAGAACCGGACCCGGATCCCTCTGAGACCCTGTTCAGCAGCAGTTCACTCACAGGGCTGCAGGTGGCGCTGTCCCGGTCACACAGGCTGATCCTGCAGTGCAGATAAACGTCCTCGTAGGTCCCCTGGTACAGGAAGAGCAGCGCCGAAAAGCGAGCTCGCTGCGACAGACCGCTCTCGACCACCGTCACATGGTGCCGGTCCACTGGACACCTGGAGGACGCAGCCAATCACACAGCAGCTTGTAGTCTGCAGTCAACACACCTGAGCTTTCATTGTGAAAATCTGATTTCCTGAAAGGTACGTCTGTGTCAGTTTAATCACAGCAGCACCTGGTGGACGTTGGAGGAACTGCAGTCTTATTGATTCATTAGCTTGTTGCTTCTGTTATGGGTTGAAATCCAATCGATCAATCAGTGATTATCCGATTATTGGCAGTTCGTTTCCTGCTCACCTGTCCTGGATCAGAGAGGTCCTGACAGGGTCGTCGGCTCCGGGGGAGTTTGTGACGTAGCAGTTTTCCAGCAGGAGCACGAAGTCATTGTTGTCGTAGTTCTCCATGGAGACGCCGACGTGCAGGGCGGAGCCAAGAGGCAGGCTGACGGCGCCGGCGGGAAACGGCTCGTTGAAGTCTGGCCTCATGTACAGAGTCATCAGCGCTCTGGTGGGGTCACCTGAACGCACCACGCCGACCGCTCCTCTCCTGATGAGGTAGGGGCAACACAGTCACACTCACAGACTCCTTAATCATTAATTAATAATAATAACAGTATTATTAATTAATGATTAGTATTAATTAATAACAAGATTAATAATCTTTAGGGACATATTTTAATGGATTATCTCTTAATTTACACCTTAAAGTGAGTTTACACTGTAAACCCATTAAAGTGTACTGAAAGTCCGTGAACGCATCATAATTCATTAATTTGATTTCTAACCTCCCCTTCCTCTCTAAGATTCTGGAGAAAGTAGTCGCCAAACAGTTGTGTGACTTTCTACATAACAATAGTTTATTTGAGGATTTTTTAGTCAGGATTTAGAGTTCATCACAGCACAGAGACAGCTCTGGTTAAAGTTAATAATGACCTTCTGATTGCTTCCAACAATGGACTGTACTTGTATTATTAGATCTTAGTGCTGCATTTGACACCATTGACCATAATATTCTTTTACAGAGACTTGAGCATCAAATTGGCATTAAAGGAACCGCACTAAGCTGGTTTAAGTCATATTTATCAGATCGTTCGCAGTTTGTACATGTTAACGATGAATCTTCAATAAATACTACAGTTAGTCATGGAGTTCCACAAGGTTCTGTACTTGGACCAATTATATTCACTTTATATATGCTTCCCTTAGGCAACATTATTAGGAATCACTCCATTAACTTTCATTGCTATGCAGATGATACACAGTTATATCTATCAATCAAGCCCGATGAATTAATCATTATCTAAATTAAATGTCTTAAGGACATAAAAACCTGGATCAGCTCTGTCTAAAGATATAGCTACTCTAGATGGCATTACCTTGGCCTTAGCACCACTGTCAGGTTTTGAGTTATCTTTGATCAGGACATGTTTAATTCCATAAAGCAGACCTCTAGGCTGCCTTACTGCACTCTTTTTTCTCAGGCTGCCCCAATAAGTCCATTAAGAGCCAATTAATTCAAAACCAGTAGTGGTTCTGTACTAGCTTCTCGGCACTGGCTCCTTTTAAAATTTAGAATTTAAAATCCACCTCCTCACCTATAAAGCTCTTCTGGTGGCCCCTCACATCTTAAAGAGCTAGTACTATTCCCCACTAGACCGTTCTTGAATGCTGGGCTACTTGTGGTTCCAGTCTCTAAAAGAAGAAAAGGAGCCAGAGCTTAGTTACCAAGCTTCCTGTGGCAGCTTAGTTAGGGCTGGAGGCGTCTCTTTAAAGTAGGCTTAAGACGTCTTTAAATTATATGGTGAGTCCTGAACCATCCCTTAGTTATGCTGCTATAGGCCAAGACCAGGGGTTCTCAACCTTTTGCAAGCTGGGCCCCCCAAAGCTGATTCATTGCAGTTGCGCCCCCCCCTTCCCGGCACCACCCCCACTACGCCACCTTGCATAGATAGATAGATTGATAGATAGATAGATAGATAGATTGATTGATAGATTGATAGATTGATAGATAGATAGATAGATAGCCCTAGGCTAGGCTATTATTTTTAGGCCCACATTATCATTATTATATCAGTAGCGGTAGGTATAGGCCTATTATCATTACTAGGCTATTGTTATAATTGGCAGTAGCACCAGACTTCCAATGTGAGCTTGCAGGCATCATCATTATTATTATTATTATTATTATTATTATTATTATGAGTAGTAGTAGGCCTTTTATCATTACTAGGCTATTGCTATATAATTATATGAGTTTACATGCTTAATTGTTGTTATTATTCATTATTATTATTATTATTATTATTATTATTATTATTATTATTATTATAGTACTATTATATTATAGGTTTTATATAATTATAGAGGACATGGCTTTATTGTTGTTATTATTATTATTATTATTAATACTATTATTATTATTATCATAGTAGGCCTATTATCATTACTAGGCTTTGGGTAAACCAGCCTGCTGATACTGAATTTACCTGCTTTATTGTTATTGACAGGCCTCATCTGCTAGTGCACACAAATCTACATTTTTTAAAAAAAGTTGAGGGAGGGGATGTTTATTGAGACCTCGAACCTGCTTTGCACTTGCAAAGACCCCGGCGCAGTTGTAAAAAGCCCAAATCATCCTCTTTGTAAACGTTGGGTACTTTGTTTTAGTGCAGAATTGTTGAGAATCCTCCTCAACAAATTTCTCGACGGAAAGGGGGGGAGGTGACGTCGAGTTGAGGGTCCTGCATAGGCTGCCCAGAATGAGAAAGAGGGCAGGAGGTAAGAGTTCCTCGCCCTGCACTGTCACCTGATGACAGCTCTCTGGCACACAAATGGATCTTGAACCCACGTTTAAGTATGTTTTTTGACAGGTGCTCACGCTGTTGAAATAGAGAGGAGACGTGCCTGCATCAGTGATAAAGTCTGCAAGGCTGGGGAACATGTCGCAGTTCCCTCGACTGATGCGGCCATGCCAGAGGTCAAGTTTTTGTGTGAAGGCGTCCACTCTGTCTGCAAGGAGCAAATATTAGTTTTGCGGCCTTGCAAAGACAGGTTGAGGCCATTCAAGCGGTCAAATATATCGACCAAATAGGACAGAGACGCAAGCCACATAGTGTCATCCAGATGCTTCGCCAGATATGATTTGATTTCTGTCAAAAACCACTTCACCTCCTCTCGCAGCTCATACAACCGCTGTAACACCCGCCCCCTGGAGAGCCAGCGAACTTCAGTGTGCAGAAGCAGCTGTTCGTGCCCTGACCCCATCTCCTGGCAGAAGACCCCAAACAAGCGAGAGTTTAGCGGCCGTGATTTGATGAGATTTATAATTTTCACGGATTGGTTCAGCACGGAGTCAAAGAGAACCAGCATTTTTTTAGCAGCTAGTGCTTAGCGATGGACCATGCAATGTGTCCATTTCACAAGTGGAGCTACTTGCTGAACGCTAGCAGCTAGGCCGCACTCACAGCCCGTCATTGCCCGCGCACCATCCGTGCATAGGCCAACGCATCGGTCCCAGGCCAAACCATTTTCACGGATAAAAACATCAAGGACATTGAAGATGGCTTCTCCTGTAGTGTGCGACTGAAGAGGCCGGCAAAACAGGACATCCTCCTCAATCACCTTGTCCCGCAGATACCTGACATAGGTGAGGAGCTGTGCCTGCCCAGCAATATCAGTGGATTCGTCCAGCTGCAGCGTGTAGTAAGGACTCTTTTTTATGAACTCTATCAGTTGCTCTCTGATATCATTAGACATGTCTGAAATTCTCCTAGCGACTGTGTCATTGGACAGTGGTACTGCACCGAGTTTGGCTGCTGCACTATCTCCTATCATTATTCTGCACGTCTTGCGCGGCCGGCAAAATGAGAGTCTCGGCAATTGTATGCGGTTTACCCAGTTTAGCTATTCTTTTGGCCACTACATACGATGCCTCCAAACACTGTTTAGACACAGTGCTGTGCACTGAAATGGTTGCCTGTTGCTGATGGAGGCCATCAAGCTTTCTTTTAAAATATTCAGCCAGTTTATCCTTAATGCCAGCATGCTTTGTTTCGAGGTGCCTTTTTAGTTTACAGGGCTTCATGCTGTCGTTTGCCAGCACCTCAGCACACACGACACACTGAGGTCTCAGATCAGCTGTGACTGTAAACCCAAACTGCAGGTATGCTTCATCGTACCTTCGAAGCTTTTTTGCAGCTGGTGGTGCGTCGGTTGCCTTGTTGGTCCTCACTAGAAATCTCTCCATTTTTGTTTGGTTTTGAAATAATTTGGATGTGGATAAGTTGTGTTTTCAATAAAGTTTAGGCTATGATGTAACGATGTGTGCGTGTGTGTGGCTATGTTGAGAGACTAGTATCGGGGGCTAATCAGTCGGGACTTAGGCACGATCTTTAATACAACAAACAAAATAACAATTTTACAGGCAATGCAGATTTTATTTTAAGACTTAACGATTGTAGTCCTTTGTCAGTGAGTGAGTGAGTGTGTGTGTGTGTGTGTGTGTGTGTGTGTGTGTGTGTGTGTTGCAACACGGTGAAAAAGGCAGAGGGGTAGTTAGCTAAGTGCACTGCCTAGCAGTTAAAAAATAAACATAAAAACATAAAAATAACTGAGGTGGGGATAATCTTTAAAAAGACTGTTTGTGGGATAAGTCTTTAAAAAGACTGTTTGGGTTTTGAAGTATAGGTAATTCGATATCGAGATTAATAATAGATAGACTAGCGAGAGCTGGCACAAGCGAACTTGGCAAGAGACTAGACTAGAGTGAATGGAGCTACGCGCAGTGTTGTATTTTTTGTGTGAGAGTGCAGAGTGAGTGAAGAAACATTTACATTTAAATACATCTGTAAGCCAGGGCGGGAACGGCGGCGGCCATGCGCATGCGTGATTCATTTGCAGCCTGGACGCGGAGTGGTGTGTGTGTCTCCTCTCTGCTCTGACTGCAGGCTGCTGTGCGGGGCTACAGAGAGACTGACCGCCTGTGAGTGCTTTGGACGGGGGAGGGGCTCACGGCAGCACCTGCTGCTCGTTGAGCACATTAACTGCAGAGTGATACATGCTTTTCACGTCTCCGAGAACCACACAAGGCTCCAATAACATCTGATTTTTTTCCCCTCCCATCCTGTAGCCTACTCGCGCCCCCCGGGAGAGTGTCCGCGCCCCCCCAGTGGTTGAGAACCACTGGCCTAGACTATCGGGGGATTTCCCATGATGCACTGAGCTCCTCTCTTCCTCTCTCTCTCTTTCTGCACTCATTTATGTCCCATTAATGCATGTAACTAACTAGTGCTGTCAGTTAAACGCGTTATTAATGGCGTTAACGCAAACCCATTTTAACGGCGTCAATTTTTTTAACACAAGATTAACGTTCTTTTTAGTCCAGCACACTTTGTAGTTTTTTTCACATGCTGTTGCAACAACTAGTAACGTTAGAAAAACTACAACACCACACCGGATCTAGCTAGACCGGAAACAAAACAAAAGGCACGCCGCACACACTTGTTTAAGAGTAGTAGACGTTACGTTTTGAGTGGATGGCGAGCGCAAGACGCCGAAATGGATGCCAATAATATTCTGAATGGAAAGTTTACTTTTAAGAAGTTGCCAAATGGTTCCATTGACAAGACCAAAGTGATCTGTGTGTTTTGTCGTTGTGAACTGAGCTATCATCGCAGCATGTCCAGTCTGAAATACCACTTGATGGCCAGGCACACAGCTGATGTGAATTCTCCACCCCCTTGTCAAAGCCAGGCAACAATGGATGACTTCAGACAGAAGCACATGGATACCACAACTAAGAACAAACTTACTGCAGCCATAGCTAAATGGGTGGCTACTGCATGTAGGCCTGTTAACGTTGTGATAAAGCATTTGTTTCACCCTTTTATTGATGGACAGTGTTACATTGTGTGAGAGATTATTTGCTCCAAGTGAGAATGTTAGTGTGAAATTGAACACTACAGTATATGCCAATGTTGTTTCAAAGGACATTTAGAATAGATAAAAATGTGCGATTAATTGCGAGTTAACCATGACATTAATGCGATTAATTGCGATTAAATATTTTAATCGTTTGACAGCACTATTACTAACTTTACTTCTTCCCCGGAGTTCTTGTGCTTTCTCGTCTCGCAGGTTCTCATGGATCGTGGTGGAGCCTCCTGCCATGGTCCTGCTTGACTGCCATTGCTAATATCATTGATATTATTGTTATTATTATTATTACTACTACTATTATTATTACTACAGTTACTATTATTACTATTGTCATTGCTCCTTGTCCCCCACCGTTGCTGTTGTCGTCGTCATCATCTTCTTCATGTTCATCATCATCAGTCACTACTATTAGTGTAGTTGTTGCTACTGTTGTTGCTGTGCACCTCTGTCTGTCTGTCTGTCTGTCTGTCTCTGTCTCTCTCACCCCAACTGGTCGAGGCAGACGACCACCCACCTAGAGCCGAAGGGTCTGGGCTAGGCTTTTTCCTTGCCCCCGTCGCCAAGTGCTTGCTCATGGTGGAACTGTTGGGTCTCTGTAAATAATGTTATAAGGAGTTTGGTCTAGACCTGCTCTATTTGAAAAGTGTCCTGAGATAACTTCTGTTATGAATTGGCGCTATACAAATAAAATTGAATTTAATTGAATTTAATTAATTTATCCACTAATTAAACTTAAATACAGGATCAACCTTCAATTCAAGGTTTACCTGTAATTTCATTTTGTAAATATTTGTTTTTACCTTATTGGATGCAAAACCCCAATAATATTATTTAAATATATTTTCAGGAAATAAAAGATACAAATGAAAAGAAGCATAAATACAGGATAATTATGTAAAGTAATTATTAGGGGTGTAACAAAAAACGATTGAATTGGAAAATCGATTTTGATTTAAAAGATGCGAGTGCATCGGTACACGGACTAATAAATCGGTCTTAATGTAGCTTGAACCGTCCGATGGCCCGATTAAAAAGTTATAAATCGGTTTATGCTGCTGAAAACTGCATCTCTCTCTGATCGTCTCTCGCTCCCTCCCTTAAAACTCTCGCGAGACTTGTCGCAGTTACGTCAGATAGCGCTGTGAGTTTGTGAGGGAAAGTTTAAAAAATGGCTGACTCAGGCAGGCTCCGGCGTCTAAGTGTGGAAGAAGTTTGGATTTTATTTGAAGAATGGGTACTGGATAAAGGGCTTATGCAAGACTGTAAAACTCGATAACTCGGACCAACCCACACTCACTTGGTGAGACGGCATGGGAACGGCGAGAGGAGGCTAGTCGCTAGAAAACGAATACGGACTTATTCCGCCAAAACTCACCCCACTCGGCGAGCAAGGTATAACGCCTAAAACCATCATTGTTAGACATGAACCAACTCTGCGTGATGATGGCTCGGCATATAAAACATTGAGCCCCGCTCCCGACAACATTTCACTAACAAGTGCGTACCAGAGTTGTACAACAAAGTTAAGTCAAAGTCAAAGTAGACAATTTGTCTACTTTCAACAAGAAATCCGTTGCATCATACCCTCAAGAATTGAGCCATGCCACATCGAATCGAAATCCTCTGAATCGAACTGAATCGAATCGTTCCATTTTAAAATGTATTGTTCCTGGATCGTATCGTACCACCTGTATCGAGATACGCATCGAATCGTCTTTTATTGGAGAGATGCACACCCCTAGTAATTATGTAAAAATGTTTTCATGAATTTCTGGTGTCTGAATAGTGAATAAGAATTAAAGGTTAAAAAAGCCCTTTAAATTGACAAAAACACACAAATGTATGTCTCTTAATCCTTCAGCTAAAGATAAATAATTTGATAAACTGTTTTAATCCATTTAAAACATTTAGAAATAAAATTCTGAATTATATGTTCATTTATTTACTTATTGAAGAAAGAATTTACACCTTCATTGAAAACTTCAAGATACAAATTCAGGCATCTACTAGTCCTTAAAATCCCCTTAATTCCTGCTGATAACCCATTAAACTCACTTATTGCTATAATTGTTATTATATATGTATATAAATATACTCAGTCCATATCTGTACATGTAAATATTACCTCAATACCACCTTAAAATCGTCATATTTTACATTCATTTGGACATTAAACTCTACTTCCTGTCTTCATTTAGGGCTTTTCAAAATAAGGTTTTTTTTAAGGGGTTTAGTTTTTCAACTCAAAGGACAATTGATTAAAAACACACTGATTGACATTAGGATGTGTGTGTGTTCTGGGAGGAGTTTAGGGTTAATTAACGGGTAATTAAGGGTTAATTAAGGTGATTTTAAGTGATTGTTGTTTCATAGTGAGAGGGTCAGAGTAGAGGTGGGCGATATATATCGTCTGCGATAATATCGTCATCGTTGTTTTGACGATGTGCAAATTTCCATTATCGAGTATTTAAATTACTTCGACAAAAACAATGAAACGCCCACGGAAACTCCTCACATCCATTAATACACGGTGCAGCAGCGCTCTCTACAGGATGGCAGGATTCAGTCACACAACTAGTGGGCCTACGTGATCACATGACGTGATCACGTGACCTCTCGCTAGCATCCTCCTTGCAACAGTTTAGCAGCGCGTTGTGATGGTAGAGAGAAAATGCAAACACCTCCGGTCCCTGAAGCTACCGGTACTTCAGATGATTTAGTGCCGAGACGTGGGTCCTATGGGCTTCAGCGTTCAGAGCACTAAGCGCCTTCAGCGGTAAAAAGATGTCAGCGGAGACGTTTTTTTTTTTTAACGCAGCGCTCAGAGCGCTTCAAGTTGAAATCTGTTCAACTTTTAACACCGCTGGGCGCTCGGAAAATATGTTTTTGAGCTCTCTCAGAGCTGTAAACGCGTTTGGTGGACACAAGTCCAGCTCAGACAATTCTAATCACATTTTAAAGGATATCGACTGATTATCGTTATCGCCAAAATCCCAAAAAATATTGAGATATTATTTTTTGCCCATATCGCCCACCCCTAGGTCAGAGATGCTCTGTTCCCTGATTGGCTGACAGGTAACCATTAAAGTAAGGTAACCAAGTTAACTCAAGTGAACTCACAGTGGCTGGTATTGGATGGCAGCATCGAGGCTGGTGATGTCATCCAGTGGGAAGACGCAGAAGAAAGGGATGCTCATCGGGACAGAGATCGAGCCGTTGGTCCGACCAGATGGGTACACGAACAAAATGTTGGAGTACGTAATGTGGGTGCCGTTAGTCTGGAACAGAGACATGATGATAAAATATTAATAATAATAATAATAAATGCTTTATTTTTGAATAGGGACAATGCACATTAATGAACATCGATATTTAAACATCTCTGTAAACATGCCGGATTATAGCAAAACTGCTAATTTGCATCCGTAGTCCCTAATGAATAAATAGAAAAAATACAAATAGAGAAGACAGCAAATAAATAGATAAAATACAAATAGAAGAGACAACACACACAGCACAATACATTACACAATCAGAAGGACACCAGACTCAGACAGGATATAACAATGCAATAAAAAGTAATGTTCAATTAGTCTCAAGTCCAGTTAGTGGTCGCACTTTTGGTTTGATTTGAGCCATTGTTTTAGTTGTCCTTTAAAAGAAGAGTATGTGGGGCATTCCCTTATTGTGGAGGGAAGACTATTCCAAATGTCGTCCCCCCCCACAACAGACAACATGTTCCTCCCGTACGTGGTGCGCCTGTGGGGAATCTCACAGTCTCCTCTATCACAAGCCCTGGTGCTCATACCTCTCAGAGTCTTTTTCTTTATGAAGTCAATCAGCGGTGGTGGAGCAAGACCATGGAGACTTTTATACACAAAACAGGCAAATCTAAAAGTTTTAAAATTATGGAAACTTAAAAAATTGTTTTTTCAGGGCCTTGCAGATATGGAAGGAGAAGGGTTTTTAGGGCTTTTTTATAGAGAGATTTTATCGGTTTGAGTGCTGTCGTACATGCCAGTGACCAGCTCGTTAAAGCAGTAGTCTATATGTGAGAAGATCATACAGTGTAAAAACATCAAAGCTGCACTGCTGGTTAATGAATTCCTGATCTGTCTGAAATTTGCCAGGTTGTATTTGACAGAGTTACACTTTTTTGATGTGTTTCTTGAATGAGAGTGTCGAGTCCAGAATGACTCCCAAGTATCTGAACTCGCTCACCAAAGCGAGCTCCTCCCCTCCCAGAAAGATACCAGAATGATCAATATTTGGCGGCCTTTTAGCAAAAATCATACAGACACTTTTTTAACATTTAAAGAAAGACATGAATCAGTGAGCCAGTCCTGAACATGAGCCATTGCTGTTGTGAGTATTTGAGCAGCCTCTGTCGTGTTTTTCGCAGGGGTGAAAATCACTGCGTCATTGGTGTATAACTGTGCATTAACACAAATAGGTCCAAGTATGGATCCCTGAGGGACCCCTACTGGACAGTCCAGGTAAGGGGATTTGACACAGCCGACCACCACACACTGCTCTCTATCTGCAAGATATGATCTGAACCAATTGAGGGCCTGTGTAGAGAAATTAAATTTCGACAGCTTGGTTAACAGTACTCAGTGGTCAACGGAGTCAAAGGCCCTTTTAAGATCCAGGAAGACAGTTCCCACACAGCTGTTCCTATCCAGGAGACACTTGGTTTTTTCGACAAACATACTTATGGCCAACTCTGTGGAATGGTGAGTCCGGAAGCCAAACTGCATCGGATGTAATGCTGTATAACTGTTATTAAGATGTTCTACTAACTGTTTAGCCACCCATTTTTCTATTACTATTGAGATGACAGGAAGAATACTGATTGGTCTATAGTTGTTGATTTCAGATTTACTTCCAGATTTGAAGATTGGATTCACCGTGCTCACCTTCCAGTTAGTCGGGACAACAGAATGCCGGATAGACAGATTTACCAGCTGCATAATGGGGCAAACCAGAGACTCCATGTGAAGTTTTAAAAACTTAGTGTCAAATCCATAGTCATCCTTGGCATTAGATTTGTTAAGAGAGCAATAATTTTCATTACGTCTCTATCAGAGATTTCAGTTATGTTAAAAACAGGCTGGTCGCAATTGACAGGATGATAGACACAGTCAGGTGCAGTGAACAGACTTGATATTTCTTGAACAGAATTTATAAAAAAATAATTAAATTCTGCAGCCAAGGTGACAGGACTGTTCACCAATTGATTGTTGGTGAACAATGATTGATGATTTATGTTTAGTTCCAGTCCTTTACTGCTCTGTTAGGTCTGTCGGCCAGTTAGGTTATTGGTCTCTTTCCACACTTTTTTTGAATTTCCCTTTGCACTCTCAATTATGGAGAATTAAGAAGAAGTTTACTTTAGCTTTTCGTAATGCTAATGTTACTTTATTTTGTGCTACGCTACGGTAAGCGTACTGACTCATTCCCGGTTTACTTCCTGCTCTGTGTACACTGTTTGGTGCTGTAGCTCTGTCAGTGAACGCTAAATCTAAATTAGTTTTACTCGTTACAGCGGTTATTTTCCCACTTAACATTTAAACGTAGACTAGTTCTACCTAAGCACTCGGAGTTACTCCTTCTTTTAGTGACTTTTCACTACTTTCAAAGTTTTTTCATACACTCTAGCTTCAGTAACATTAGCAGTTAGCTTTGGCTTCTCCCTCTCCCTCTCCTCTGTCCTGCTCAGTGTGTCAGATGTTCAGTTATTCCTCTGCCTCCTTTAATGATAATGGTACCTGTATTAAATGTAGTTTATTTACTGCGCTGGAGGCGAGGCTTAGTGAGTTAGAGGAACGGCACCGCACCACTGAGATATCTTTAGCCACTATAGTTAGCCAGCCCCCAGTAGCCGATACGGTCCGACCGAAGGTAGCTTCTGTTAGCCGTCCTCCGGTAGTTCCCCCGGTAGTTCCTCCGGTAGTTCCCCCGGTAGTTCCCGAGCAGCCGGGAAGACAGGGAGGGAGCGAAGGAAGACTAAAACGCCGAAGCCCACAGTTCACCACCAACCCATTCATGTTTCTAATACATTGTCCCCACTCAGCGATACACCCGCTGAGGAACCAACTCTGGTTATTGGCAGCTCCATAGTCAGAAACGTGAAGTTAGTGAAGCCAGCGGCCATAGTTAAATGTATCCCTGGGGCCAGAGCGGGCGACATTGAATCCTATTTAAAACTGCTGGCTAAACATAAACGTAAATATAGTAAGATTGTTATCCACGTCGGCGGTAATGACACCCGTTTACGCCAATCGGAGGTCACTAAGATTAATGTGGAGTCGGTGTGTAATTATGCTAAAACTATGTCGGACTCCGTAGTTTTCTCTGGACCCCTCCCCAATGTGACCAGTGATGACATGTATAGCCGCATGTCGTCATTCCACCGCTGGCTGTCGAGGTGGTGTCCAGAAAACGATGTGGGCTTCATTGATAACTGGAAGCCTTGTTGGGGAAAACCTGGTCTGATTAGGAGAGACGGCATCCATCCCACTTTGGATGGAGCGGCTCTCTTATCTAGGAATATGGCGAAGTTTATTTCTAAAACCTGACAGTCCAGAGTTAGGACCAGGAAGCAGAGCTGCTGTCTTACACACTTCTCTGCGCTTTCTTTAGAACAGTCACCCACCCAAAACCCCATAGAGACTGTGTCTGTCCCCCGACCACCTAAACTATTTAAAGAAATAAAAACAAGAGGAGTTCAACATAAAAATCTAATAAAAATTAAAACTAACTCCTTAGTAGCACAAAATAAGAGAATGAAATGTGGGCTGTTAAATATCAGGTCTCTGTCTTCTGAAGCTGTTTTAGTGAATGAATTAATATCAGATTATGATATTGATTTACTTTGTCTTACTGAGACCTGGTAGTCCCACGAGGAGTATGTTGGCCTAAATGAATCCTCCACCCCCCCCCCCCCAGTCATATTAATACTCACATTCCTCGAGGCACTGGCCGAGGAGGTGGAGTGGCAGCCATATATGATTCGAGCGTTTTAATGGACCCTAAACCTAAACTAAATTATAATTCATTTGAAAGCCTTGTTCTTAGTCTTTCTCACCTAAACTGGAAAACACTGCAGCCAGTTCTATTTGTTATAGTGTACCGCGCTCCTGGACCGTACTCTGATTTTATATCTGAATTCTCAGAGGTTTTATCAAGTGTAGTCCTTAAATCAGATAAAGTAATTATTGAAGGTGATTTTAATATTCCTGTGGATGTTAACAATGACAGCCTTAGTAATGCATTTATATCATTAATAGACTCAATTAGCTTCTGTCAGAGTGTAAATAAACCAACTCATTGTTTTAATCACACTCTTGACCTTGTTCTATCATATGGCATTGATATTGAACATTTAAGTCTTCCCGCATAATCCTTTCCTATCTGACCATTATTTAATAACTTTTGAATTCATACTATTAGATTATAAGCCATTAGGCAAAACTTCCTACAGCAGATGTCTATCTGACAGTGCTGTAGCTAAATTTAAGGAGGAGATTCCTTCAGTGTTTAATTCAATGCCATGTCTGAATTTAACAGAGTCCTATAACGACTTTAGTCCCTCTGAAATTGATAATCTTGTCGATAGTGCTGCAGGCTCACTGTGAAGAACATTAGACTCTATCGCTCCTATAAAAAGGAAATTATTAAAACATAGGAGACTAGCACCTTGGTATAACCACCAAACCCGCCAGTTAAAACAAATAGCTAGGAAATCTGAAAGGAAATGGCGCTCTTCCAAATTATCAGAATATCGCTCAATTTGGCATGATAATCTTAAAACTTATAGAAAGGCCCTCCGTAATGCCAGAGGAGCCTATTACTCAGCAATAATAGAAGAAAATAAGAGTAACCCTAGGTTCCTCTTCAGCACTGTAGCCAGGCTGACAGAGAGTCACAGCTCTATCGAGCCACATATCCCCATAAACTTAAGTAGCAATGACTTCATGAGCTTCTTCTATAATAAAATTATTACTATTAGAGAAAAAATTAATCACCAACTGCCATCAACGGTTATCAGTGGCTCTCCAAGTTCAGGGACTTCTGTCAATGTAAACTTAGATGTATATTTAGACTGTTTTTCTGCTATCGATCTTCATCAGTTAACTTCAATCATTTCTTCATCGAAGCCATCAACCTGTCTGTTAGACCCGATCCCAACTAGGCTGCTTAAAGAAGTTGTTCCCTTAATTGGCACTTCTTTACTGGATATGATTAATCTTTCTTTATTATCAGGATATGTACCACAGTCCTTTAAAGTAGCTGTAATTAAACCCCTTCTTAAAAAGTCTACTCTTGACCCAGGGGTTTTAGCCAACTATAGACCGATTTCTAACCTCCCATTCCTCTCTAAGATTCTGGAGAAAGTAGTCGCCAAAGAGTTGTGTGACTTTCTACATAACAATAGTTTATTTGAGGATTTTCAGTCAGGATTTAGAGTTCATCATAGCACAGAGACAGCTCTGCTTAAAGTTAATAATGACCTTCTGACTGCTTCTGACAATGGACTTGTCTCTGTACTTGTATTATTAGATCTTAGTGCTGCATTTGACACCATTGACCATGATATTCTTTTACAGAGACTTGAGCATCAAATTGGCATTAAAGGAACTGCCCTAACCTGGTTTAAGTCATACTTATCAGATCGTTCTCAGTTTGTACATGTTAACGATGAATCCTCCATAAATACTAAAGTTAGTCATGGAGTTCCACAAGGTTCTGTACTTGGACCAATACTATTTACTTTATATATGCTCCCTTTAGGCAACATTATTAGGAATCACTCCATTAACTTTCACTGTTATGCAGATGATACGCAGTTATATCTATCAATCAAACCCAATGAAATTAATCAATTATCTAAATTACAAACATGTCTTAAGGACATAAAATCCTGGATGACCTGCAATTTTCTGATGTTAAACTCAGAAAAAAACGAAATTCTTGTTCTTGGCCCCAAAAACCTTAGAGACTCATTGTCTAAAGATAAAGTCACTCTAGATGGCATTAACTTGGCCTCTAGCACCACTGTCAGGAATCTTGGAGTTATCTTTGATCAGGATTTGTCATTTAACTCCCACATAAAGCAGACCTCTAGGACTGCCTTCTTTCATTTACGTAATATTAGAAAAATTAGACACATCCTATCACAGACAGATGCAGAAAAACTAATCCATGCATTTGTTACTTCAAGGCTGGATTACTGCAACTCTTTATTATCAGGTTGCCCCAATAAGTCCATTAAAAACGCTCCAATTAATTCAGAACGCTGCAGCACGAGTACTGACAGGAACTAGAAAAAGAGATCACATCTCTCCTGTACTAGCTACTCTGCATTGGCTCCCTATAAAATGTAGAATTGAATTTAAAATACTCCTCCTCACCTATAAAGCTCTTCATGGTCAGGCCCCTTCATATCTTAAAGAGCTCATAGTACCCTATTACCCCACTAGAACACTACGTTCTCTGAATGCTGGGCTACTTGTGGTTCCTATAGTCTCTAAAAAGTAGAACAGGAGCCAGAGCCTTCAGTTACCAAGCTCCTCTCCTGTGGAACCAGCTTCCAGTTGTGGTTCGGGAGGCAGACACCCTCACCACATTCAAGAGTAGGCTTAAGACATTCCTCTTTGATAAAGCTTATAGTTAGGGCTGGATCAGGTGAGTCCTGAACCATCCCTTAGTTATGCTGCTATAGGCCTAGACTATCAGGGGATTTCCCATGGTGCACTGAGCTACTCTCTTCCTCTCTCTTTCTGCACTCATTCATGTCCCTTTAATGCATGTTACTAACTCCACTTCTTCCCCGGAGTTCTTGTGCTTTCTCGTCTCGCAGGTTCTCATGGATCCTGGTGGAGCCTCCTGCCATGGTCCTGCTTGACTGCCATTGCCAATACTGTTGTTGCTGTGCACCTGTCTGTCTGTCTGTCGCTCTCCTCTCTCTCTCTCTCTCTCTCTCTCTCTCTCTCTCTCACCCCAACTGGTCGAGACAGACGACCACCCACCTAGAGCCGGAGGATCTGTCCTAGGTTTCTGCCTTTTAACAGGCAGTTTTTCCCTTGCCCTTGTCGCCAAGTGCTTGCTCATGGTGGTACTGTTGGGTCTCTGTAATTAATGTTAAAGAGTTCGGTCTAGACCTGCTCTATTTGAAAAGTGTCCTGAGATAACTTCTGTTATGAATTGGCGCTATACAAATAAAATTGAATTGAATTGAACAAGCGCGCCTGCTTTTAAAAGGAATGTGAGATGACGCTCTGATTGGTTTATTGGACGTTACGCCCAAATCACACCTATGACTAATGTAGCTACTTCAGACCAACCCATTTTAGATTTGCGCTGGGCGCAAGAGTCATTTATCCCGCCGGGATAATAGCAACAGCGCCCGAGGTCCGCCCACAAAGCTACTTGCGTTTTGCGTTTGATACTTGCGCTTCAGATCGGCAAGATAGGGCCCTCACTGTCTAAAGATATAATTACTCTAGATGGCATTTACTTGGCCTCTAGCACCACTGTCAGGAATCTTGGAGTTATCTTTGATCAGGATTTGTCATTTAACTCCCACATAAAGCAGACCTCTAGGACAGCCTTCTTTCATTTACGTAATATTAGAAAAATTAGACACATTCTATCACAGACAGATGCAGAAAAACTAATCCATGCATTTGTTACTTCAAGGCTGGATTACTGCAACTCTTTATTATCAGGTTGCCCCAATAAGTCCATTAAAACGCTTCAATTAATTCAGAACGCTGCAGCACGAGTACTGACAGGAACTGAATTGAATGTGAATGATTAGACCAGTTTTCAGATGCTGTTAAATGCTAACACCCTCACAATGACAATGCTAACAAAGCTAACATGTTAGCATCAATGACTTTATGTGCTGATAATATGTCAGATATGATATATAACAGAAGAGTCAGATATGGTAGACATGCTGGGTACCCAATGAAAGTCACCTTCACCACGTTTCCACAGACACTCTTCCTTCGCTCCACCAGGTACCACATCGCCTCCTGGTGGTCAACCTGCTGCTGGCAGCGTGGGTCGATCAGGTGGGCGGAGGAGGCGTTCAGCCCTCGTTCCTCCAGCAGCCTCTTCTGGACCATCAGGCGCAGGTGGTCCTGTCCACAATCCAGCTCCGGCTCTGGAAAACCACCAAGTTCATCTGAAACACATAATAGTACACAGGAAAAAGGCATTGTGGGTATCAGAGTCTTTATTACAGGACATCTTGCTACCAATAGTTTTCAGATTTAACTAGTTAGCTAAAGTTTGTTTTTCTATAGAGCAAACATCGGTCGTTAGTTAGCTAGTGGAACCGGAGGGCTGCCAGTTCAAGTCCAGCATGAACCACAGTATGGAGTGGACTGGTAGCTGGAGAGGTGCCAGTTCCACCTGCTGTGCACTGCTGAGGTGCCCTTGAGCAAGGCACCTAACCCCATGTCTATAAGGCCTATGTCTGTAAACACTGGTGGAAAACTGATTTCCCCATTGGGGATTAATAAAGTATATTCTTCTTCTTCGAACATTAGCTTTCAGAAGTAACTAGCTAGCTAATGATTGGCGTAGATAAGCTAGCTAGTTACCTAGCTACAGAATAATACGCTAGCTAGCTAATGTAGCTATACAGTAGGTCTTTGTACTCAGTGAGGTCATAGATTGTCTGTAACGGCCCTCAGAAACACTCCGTTCCAGCGGCGTCAGAAGAGAGAAAGCGGTTGATTGGGCGCAGCATTAATATACGCCCCCGGGTGCAGGATGAGTCATCAAATGCTATTATTGATTACAGACAGATAGGAAACAGACAGACAGACAGTTGTTCTTCAAGTAAATGTCACTAACCTGAGCAGACGACACCAGCATCTTCAGCATGGTTGCAGTTATGAGTTCCGAACCCTTGATGGCCACATTCTGATAATGCCGACTCACTGCCTGTACAGGCAACATCGTCCAACCAGATCGGTCCGGTACCCTGTCCAAAGTTGGTGCTACCAAGTGCCAACTGGGCGGGGCCACACCGCAGCTGTCTGCAGACCACCTGGGCGTCGTTTAAATCCCAAAGATCATCACATACTGTTCCCCACTGGTTGTTATAGAGGACCTCCACTCTACCAGAGCACTCTGAGTTACCGTTTACCAGCCTCACCCGAGGGGCTAAACATTGAAACAGAGTGACAGTGAACCGTTTGTCCCACAGATACAGCTAACAACAACAACAACAACAACAACAACAACCTTTCACATAAGTGGGGCGTATTATGGTATGTAGTATTATTTATGGTGAAACTGATCCGTGGTATCCAGGCACAAAGAGGATCATTAATCATCAGATGGTCATCTGTAGATCTCGGACCGTGTTCTGAGCCAAAGGACTTCCTTGACCCCTTACCCTGAAATTGGTGCCACAATGTTCATAATAGTGTGAAATTTGATCTGGAGTTTACGCGTAGTATTTTATTTTGAAAACTGCCTGTGTTCTCTATGCTGTCTGACTTCCTGTCGTGCGATCTGTTCTGTACTGATTGATGCGAGCGGGTCACTGCTTCCATCAAAGATAGACCAGCTGCGTGTTCTACTTGGAGCAGACCGGAGAGATGCTTCTGGGATGCACCACAGCGCTACTGGTGGAATTTGAGAGTTAGGTTCTGTTCAGTGTCTGAAAATATGTGGGAAACGCCAGCTGCTTTCATCCTTTTATCCAAGGTGCTTGGGAGGTTGCACTGCTGCATCGTTACTAAGCAACTAAAACCTTTGGACTGGATGATGATGATGATGATGAAGTTGTGGTAATTTAGCTGTAAGCATCACTTAACTTATTAAAAGTCAAAACGAAGCAACATGGATTAGCAGCACCATGAATCCCACACTCCATCTGTGTGGAGAACAGAAGTAAAGCATTTGGCTGATCTTCCAACCCGATGTTTGGTCACATCCACGGTGCACAGTGCCGAAGAAACAGCTGCATCACAACTAATGTGCAGCAACAGCGTCACTTTAGGTTTTGAGCGTGCTCGTTGCTTGTCTCTATTCAAAAGAATGTGTTTGTGCACACGCAAAGAACCTCTGGAACCTTTATAAGGAATTGGGGCAGTTTTATGAACCCCTTTTAAATACAGAAGGACAGTCTGGAGGACCTCTAGAGTACCTGTTGTAACCCCTGAGGAACTTCTGAAACTTCTTTAGGGAACCAGGGAGGCCTCTTGAATAATCCCTCTTGAAGGATCTCTAGAAAGTTTCAAGGGGATCTGTGAGACCCTCTACAACCTCTTTAAGAACTGGTGGGTAGAACTCTTTAAGGTTTAAGGACTTATGGCAACAGATGAGCCAGTTCTAGAACCTCTTTAGGACACATGGAAACCCTCCAAAAGACCAGGGAACCTAACTAACCTGAAACGTCTGGATCTCCACACCTCCAGTTGATCTTGTCATCGCTCACACAGGTCTCACCTTCAGCGCAGGTACTACACACCACGGTGTTGACATCTGGTGAGGAACACAAAACAACAAAGTCTGCTAGAGAATCTGATGGTACCAGAAGTCTAAATTGCCCTTTAAGACAGGATCCAATTATGTGTCAGTCTAATGAGGCTTAACAGGTCCTGAACCACTAATATCATCTTAAAATAAAATCCATAAAAGGATTTCAGATGTTCCTTTTGGCACAACAGTAGTTGAGGCCTCTGGATCAGGATCCTTTGGCTCCATATAAGGAATACTTGTTGTGTACCTGCACAGTAAGCTAGTCGACACAAAGTCGGGCTCACAAACTTGTAGACGTAGTAGTTTCTTGGGCAGGCTTTGACGTGGATCAGGTTGGACTGAAACTGGCAGCAATCTCCTTCCCAGCTGCCGCAAACGTTCGCCCGTACGATGCCCTCCGAGTCCAGCGGGTGGGGACTCTGCAGCCACAGCGGAGCATCGGTCCCACACATGTGACTCTCAATGCACCTCTCTGGCATCTGGACACTGTTGTTACCGATGAACAGACGGTACCAGCCCTGCCAATCTGTGCGGCTGTCGCAGGCCACAGACTCTGGGTCCACCCTGAAATCTGTGGCTCGCCAGTCATCTTGTAACGGAGAGTAGTGCTGACATGGGTCAATGCACTGAGATGTGCCGTTCACCTGGAGGCAGTCCTGACCAAAAGGGCACTGTGTGCCGCCGCAGGCAAACTTCACCGACCGGGGTTTGGTTCTAGTAGCCGTTTGACTTTGTGGATCAGGGGTCGCCACCAGGCAGGTGAAGGAGCCTCCGGTGTTTTCACAGAGCTGGCCGGGACCACAGGGAAGACGGGGCAGCAAACACTCATCGATATCCACACAGCCCTGCAGTGGCGACCAGCGGTAACCTTGGCTGCAGCAGCCATCGTCGCAGGTGGTTTTGTTGTAGCAGGTGAATCCATCTCCCACCATGCCGCCCTCACAGTGGCAGGACACGCCCACAATCTCCACACTGTTGTCATGGAGGGAGGTGTGGCATCGAGCCAGTGGGTGACAGGACTCACAGCTGGTGGCTACAGACCCTGAGGACACGCAAGGTTTACATACAAAACATAATTCTTATGTAACTAATAGTGAGCATTAGCTAGTATTAGCTAGCATTGTGGTCTCTGTAAATAATGTTATAAGGAGTTTGGTCTAGACCTGCTCTGTTTGAAAAGTGTCCTGAGATAACTTCTGTTATGTTATACAAATAAAACTGAATTGAATAAAATCGCAGCCAATATAAATACAGTAAATAATTATCTGGCAGGCTACTGTCTTTAAAGACGGGGAGGGATTGAGGAAAACATTCAGACTGGATGTTACAATAACTTCAGTTTTATTTCAGCAAGGCTATAAAGTTAGGACTATGCTAATGTGGCTAATGTTAGCTATCAACAACAACAGTCTCTGGTTGGACTCAAAGACAGGATCGCCACCAACTGTCAGCAGTGCACAGAAGCCCACTCACCTGTGGACTCACCTGTGGACTCACCTGTGAACTCACCTGTGGACTCACCTGTGGATTGAGCTGAACAGACAGCCTTGAGCAGCCAAAGCAGAATGAAGAACCGGTGGAACATTTTCAATCAGCAGACTGTTACAGAGAGAAATTACATCAGCAACAGGTTCACAGTCACCTGGTTTATTTACAGGTTTACATTTATGTTTACACCACCCACATTGACACCTCCTTCATCGTCTTCTCAGTGTTCTCAAACTGTTGCTTTAAGCGTCATTTCTTTATTTGCTCTGATTTTGTACAATTTCACTCGTCTCACAGGTCAGTACGCTGTAAACCAGTACTCTGTAAACCAGGACGCTGTAAACCAGTACTCTGTAAACCAGTACTCTGTAAACCAGGACGCTGTAAACCAGGACGCTGTGAACCAGTACTCTCTAAACCAGTACTCTGTTAACCAGGACGCTGTAAACCGGTACTCTGTCAAACCAGGATGCTGTAAACAAGAACGCTGTAAACCAGTACTCTGTCAAACCAGGATGCTGTAAACAAGGACGCTGTAAACCAGTACTCTGTAAACAAGGACGCTGTAAACCAGTACTCTGTAAACCAGGACGCTGTAAACCAGTACTCTGTAAACCGGAACGCTGTAAACCGGAACGCTGTAAACCAGGACGCTGTAAACCAAGACCCTGTAAACCAGGACGCTCTAAACCAGTACGCTGTAAACCAGTACTCTGTAAACCAGGACGCTGTAAACCAGTACTCTGTAAACCAGTACTCTGTAAACCAGTACGCTGTAAACCAGTACTCTGTAAACCAGGACACTCTAAACCAGTACTCTGTAAACCAGTACGCTGTAAACCAGTACTCTGTAAACCAGTACGCTGTAAACCAGTACTCTGTAAACCAGGACGCTGTGAACCAGTACTCTCTAAACCAGTACTCTGTGAACCAGGACGCTGTAAACCAGTACTCTGTCAAACCAAGATGCTGTAAACAAGGACGCTGTAAACCAGTACTCTGTCAAACCAGGATGCTGTAAACAAGGATGCTATAAACCAGTACTCTGTAAACCAGGACGCTGTAAACCAGTACTCTGTAAACCAGGACGCTGTGAACCAGTACTCTCTAAACCAGTACTCTGTGAACCAGGACGCTGTAAACCAGTACTCTGTCAAACCAGGATGCTGTAAACAAGGACGCTGTAAACCAGTACTCTGTAAACCAGGACGCTGTAAACCAGTACTATGTAAATCAGTACTCTGTAAACCAGTACGCTGTAAATCAGTACTCTGTAAATCAGTACTCTGTAAACCAGTAGTCTGTAAACCAGTACTCTGTAAACCAGTACTCTGTAAACCATTGAGTTAATTGTACTTTAAACTCGTCAACTCAAAAGCAGCATTTACAACTTATTTAAAATGTGTGAACAGAATAAAGTCACTTAAATGCTTCTTTATATAAAAGTTACCACTTAAAGTTTTCTCCCACAAAGCAAATTATAACATTACCTGTAAAAACAGCCGACAAACATAAAAAACTATTTATAATTTGATTATCAAAATGGGCGCCAATACATTTGGGGCTTTCATTTTTGTAACGATATAAAGTCGACTTAAAGCCGAAAGTTGTTGCTGTTTACAGTGTTAGCCAGACTGCTGTTAACACTCAGTGTTCATTATCTGTTGGATCTACCTACTGAACTCAAGTCTGGATTCAGTGCAATGATCTTTAAAATCAGTTATTAAATTGAATTAAGATGTTACCTGTATCGTCTTCCTCTGTACTGACTCATTTATGGGAAATGGCTGCAGGTTCATGAATCAGTGTTAATTATTGTTAGAAAGCCATAAATTAGGATCAAAGGTTCAAAGATAGAAACACTGATACTGATTATATTCACTGATCAGGAAATACAAAGTTCAGCAGAGTAAAGAAGTGAACGTATGCTCAGAGGAACTCTGAACCCTGAACCCCGAACCTGTTGGATTTCATTTAAAGTCCAAATGAAAATTAACTATTGAACCACTATTTAACAATGTACACCAAAACATTAATTATCCAATAATTTGCTTTATGGACTTTCCTGACAGACTTGTAGCTGACAGTAGCTAATGTTAGCTCACTGAGCTAATAGGACCACTAGCTGCTTGACGGGGGCCATGTTTCTGCTGTGCAATGTGACTGTAAACTAATGTTTGAGTTCATTAATTAACCTTTTACTACGAGAAAACAGGAGGGTTTATCTCCTCTTTCCTACCTGACCATTATTTAATAACTTTTGAATTCATGTTGTTAGATTATAAGCCATTAGGCAAAACTTCCTACAGCAGATGTCTATCTGACAGTGCTGTAGCTAAATTTAAGGAGATTCCTTCAGTGTTTAATTCAATGCCATGTCTGAATTTAACAGAGTCCTATAACGACTTTAGTCCTTCTGAAATTGATAATCTTGTTGATAGTGCTGCAGGCTCACTACGAATCAACATTAGACTCTATCGCTCCTATAAAAAGGAAATTATTAAAACATAGGAGACTAGCACCTTGGTATAACCACCAAACCCACCAGTTAAAGCAAAAAGCTAGGAAATCTGAAAGGAAATGGCGCTCTTCCAAATTATCAGAATATTGCTCAAATTGGCAAGATAATCTTAAAACTTATAGAAAGGCCCTCCGTAATGCCAGAGGAGCCTATTATTCAGCACTAATAGAAGGAAAATAAGAATAACCCTAGGTTCCTCTTCAGCACTGTAGCCAGGCTGACAGAGTCACAGCTCTATTGAGCCACATATCCCCATAAACTTAAGTAGCAATGACTTTATGAGCTTCTTCTATAATAAAATTATTACTATTACTATCCAAGTTCAGGGACTTCTGTCAATGTAAACTTAGATATATATTTAGACTGTTTTTCTGCTATCGATCTTCATCAGTTAACTTCAATCATTTCTTCATCGAAGCCATCAACCTGTCTATTAGACCCGGTCCCAACTAGGCTGCTTAAAGAAGTTGTTCCCTTAATTGGCACTTCTTTACTGGATATGATTAATCTTTCTTTATTATCAGGATATGTACCACAGTCCTTTAAAGTAGCTGTAATTAAACCCCTTCTTAAAAAGTCCACTCTTGACCCAGGGATTTTAGCCAACTATAGACCGATTTCTAACCTCCCCTTCCTCTCTAAGATTCTGGAGAAAGTAGTCGCCAAAGAGTTGTGTGACTTTCTACATAACAATAGTTTATTTGAGGATTTTCAGTCAGGATTTATCATAGCACAGAGACAGCTCTGGTTAAAGTTAATAATGACCTTCTGACTGCTTCTGACAATGGACTTGTCTCTGTACTTGTATTATTAGATCTTAGTGCTGCATTTGACACCATTGACCATGATATTCTTTTACAGAGACTTGAGCATCAAATTGGCATTAAAGGAACTGCCCTAAGCTGGTTTAAGTCATACTTATCAGATCGTTCTCAGTTTGTACATGTTAACGATGAATCCTCCATAAATACTAAAGTTAGTCATGGAGTTCCACAAGGTTCTGTACTTGAACCAATACTATTTACTGTATATATGCTCCCTTTAGGCAACATTATTAGGAATCACTCCATTAACTTTCACTGTTATGCAGATGATACGCAGTTATATCTATCGATCAAGCCCAATGAAATTAATCAATTATCTAAATTACAAACATGTCTTAAGGACATAAAATCCTAGATGACCTGCAATTTTCTGATGTTAAACTCAGAAAAAAACCGAAATTCTTGTTCTTGGCCCCAAAAACCTTAGAGACTCACTGTCTAAAGATATAGTTACTCTAGATGGCATTACCTTGGCCTCTAGCACCACTGTCAGGAATCTTGGAGTTATCTTTGATCAGGATTTGTCATTTAACTCCCACATAAAGCAGACCTCTAGGACTGCCTTCTTTCATTTACGTAATATTACAAAAATTAGACACATACTATCACAGACAGATGCAGAAAAACTAATCCATGCATTTGTTACTTCAAGGCTGGATTACTGCAACTCTTTATTATCAGGTTGCCCCAATAAGTCCATTAAAACACTCCAATTAATTCAGAACGCTGCAGCACGAGTACTGACAGGAACTAGAAAAAGAGATCACATCTCTCCTGTACTAGCTACTCTGCATTGGCTCCCTATAAAATGTAGAATTGAATTTAAAATCCTCCTCCTCACCTACAAAGTTCTTCATGGTCAGGCCCCTTCATATCTTAAAGAGCTCATAGTACCCTATTACCCCACTAGAACACTACGTTCTCTGAATGCTGGGCTACTTGTGGTTCCTATAGTATCTAAAAGTAGAACAGGAGCCAGAGCCTTCAGTTACCAAGCTCCTCTCCTGTGGAACCAGCTTCCAGTTGTGGTTCGGGAGGCAGACGCCCTCACCACATTCAAGAGTAGGCTTAAGACATTCCTCTTTGATAAAGCTTATAGTTAGGGCTGGATCAGGTGAGTCCTGAACCATCCCTTAGTTATGCTGCTATAGGCCTAGACTATCGGGGGATTTCCCATGGTGCACTGAGCTCCTCCCTTCCTCTCTCTTTCTGCACTCATTCATGTCCCATTAATGCATGTTACTAACTTCACTTCTTCCCCGGAGTTCTTGTGCTTTCTCGTCTCGCAGGTTCTTGTCGATCCTGGTGGAGCCTCCTGCCATGGTCCTGCTAGATTGCCATTGCCAATACTGTTGTTACTGTGCACCTGTCTGTCTGTCTGTCTCTCGCTCTCTCTCTCTCTGCCTCTCTCTCTCTCTCTCTCTCTCTCTCTCTCTCTCTCTCACCCCAACTGGTCAAGACAGACGACCACCCACCTAGAGCCGGAGGATCTGTCCTAGGTTTCTGCCTTTTAACAGGCAGTTTTTCCTTGCCCTTGTCGCCAAGTGCTTGTTCATGGTGGTACTGTTGGGTCTCTGTAATTAATGTTTTAAAGAGTTCGGTCTAGACCTGCTCTATTTGAAAAGTGTCCTGAGATAACTTCTGTTATGAATTGGCGCTATACAAATAAAATTGAATTGAATTGAATCTCCACTTCCTGTTCAAATCCCCTCTGCTCCACACTGTCACACCAAACGCCATTCAAAAAACGGCTTTTTTAAGGAAGTAAAACCTTTATTTCCACCATCAGTGAGACTCTGATTCTCTTCAATCTACAGACACAATCTGCTCACATTGACTCAGTAACATCATTAACTAACCTGTGAGGAAGAGTTGGACACAGACACACTCACTGACGCTCTGCAGACTGTATGGCTGCTCTCAACTATTGGCTGCCTGTAATCAAACGGCTTTATTAATTTCTTCTACAGGGACGTTCAGCTGTCATTAATAAATTCAGTAATTCACAGAGAACTGAACCAGAATGTGAATTTAATTATTTAAAGAGTAACTTTACACCAGCTCATCCCGTCTGCTCTATAACCACAGCCACCAGTGATGTCACAGTGTACTGACACACCCAGGAGTACAGGTCTATGTCACTGCAGGGAGGTGAAGTTAAACCACTGGAGGTCAATGGAAAGGTTATAACCAACCTGAGGGTGTGACAGTATACGACAGGAGGGTCACTGCGGTTGTTGAACGCGAGACAATGAACAACTTGTACTAATAAATATACAAACCCACTTTTTTAAAGATAAATGTGCATTTAATGATTGTTCAGTGAGTTTAAACAGAAACAAACCCGCTCCCACAACACAAATACAAAATCAGATTTATAAAAACATGATTTGAGAAGCGCGTTCAGTCCACCCGCCCGGCGCTGCTACAGGATACGTGAGATATGCTAATGAAGGCGGTGGATCGACCAATCGTGAGGCAGCTGCGGGGTCACACGGGCATCTGCAGCTGTGAGTACTCGTCCTGCCCGTCCTTCTCCTCCAGGTGAGGCTCTGCATCGTCAGCATCCAACTGCAGGACCAGAGGTCAGAGGTCAGGGCTGTTGTCATGGTAACAGTGTCAATAAAGCCGTCATGATTCAAGTTGTTTCGTAATGAACTCATAGTTTCATTATCTGATTAGCTTCTCCAGCTAACGTGATCCGACAACAATAACAATAAATGATGCTAACAGCACAAAGCTAACCACTACAAACAGGTAGCCTAATGTTGCAGTCTATAACTAGCGGACGAATGGCCACCCTAGTATTAGATAATAAAACATTTGCTAACTATTAGCGTAAGGTAAGATATGATACTGTCTATCCAGATTCTGTTAGCCATGTTAGCAGCTACCTGTGCTAATGATGATGTCAGGATGACATCAGTGTGATCGAGGTGTGACTCACGCTCTGCAGCTCTCTCCAGGTGAAGAGGCGGGGCAGCAGCAGCATCCTCACCGGGATGGTCAGCAGCAGCATGAAGGGGAACGCCAGCGCCGCTGCCGTCGCCATGACGACCCACAGCAGAGTCAGACAGGTCAGCTGGACGATGGTGAACAGGTGCATCCTCAATGTCCTCACCTGTGAGAGCACCGACACAGGTAAAACTAATCAGGCAATCAAAACTGAAGGGAAAGCTGACAAAGACAGGAAGTGAAGTTACTGACACAAGACTGCCACGAGAGACACGAGATTTCAAAGTAAAACAGGAAATAACCAAACTAAACATGACTGAACGTCCTTTATTACATTATATTACAGTAATGTTATTATATTATATTATATTAGTTATGTTATTATATAAGTTATGTTATTATATTAGTTATGTTATTATATTACATTACAGTAATGTTATTATATTATATTATATTACAGTAATGTTATATAATATAACATTATATTACAGTAATGTTATTATGTGACCAAAGATCCAAAGATCCACAACTGCACCCCCACAATATCCCCAACCCAAGGTGTTTCTCTTGTATGCAAGCAGGTGAAGAGTACTTATGGTTGTTCAAGTATTAAGAAAAAGGCAACTCAGTCATGTGAGAAAGTTAAATGCAAAGAAAGTAGTGCTCCGGAGAAAACACCTACTGTAAGAGAGCTAGTAGGGAAGAAGTGTTTAATCAGGTATTTCCTGCACAAACAAAAGATTCAGGCACTTTGGGACACAGGTTCACAGGTTTGTGCCATTTACCTGATGTGCCACTCCGAGATGTAGCAGAGCTAGTCGATCCACTTGATCCGTTACAAATTGAAGCAGCCAATGGGACAGAAATGCCATACATGGCTGGCTTGAAGTGTCCTTTAAGCTCACCGCTAGTGATCATGAGTTGCTAATACCCATGCTAGTGCTAAAAGGCAACCAACAACAGTGTCCCATTATTGGCTTTAATGTAATTGAACGCCTTGTCCTAGATAGCCCGCAAGATCAGACAAAGCAAGGAGACAAAGAGAAACTTGTGAAGGCTGTAAAAATGGCTTTTCCTCATCTCAGGAAGAACAAAGCAAAAACCTTTATTAATGCGTGAGTGTAGGGCAAGCATGTGATCATAATGTAAGGACAGCAAATGAGAGAATCAGTGTGCCTAAACAGAGCTCCATCCAAATTGAGTGTCGAGTACAGGCCCCACCTTATTTAAAACAGATCATCTACCAACTGCATCCATTCACCATGTCCAGGCCCAGAGTTCCAGTGAAAGCATCCCTGCACATGAACCTTGGGATCCTCCTGTTGATTTGACTCACCTTGAAGAACATCAGAGACAAAGTCATCAGATGTTAAGAGAAGAATCAGAGTCATTTTCCAGGTCTGATGATGACATAGGCTGTGTGGAAAACCTACAAATGGACATTTCACTAAAAGATGTTGAGCCAGTGTCAAAAGCATATCTCTCTGTTCCAAAGCCTTTGTACAAGGAGATAAAAGACTACTTACGGGACTTGATAGCACAGGGGTGGGTTGAAAAATCTACCTCTTCCTACCCCTCCCCAGTTGTCTGTGTAAGAAAAAAAGACGGTACGCTGCGCTTATGTATTGACTACAGGGAGCTCAATAGGAAAACTCACCCAGACCGCCACCCCATCCCCAAAGTGCAGGACATTATGGACACTCTGGGGGGAAACACCCTCTTTTCGCTGCTGGACCAGGGTAAGGCATATCACCAGGGGTTCATGTCAAAGGACAGTAGACACTTAACAGCTTTTGTGACCCCCTGGGGCCTGTATGAGTGGGTCCGAATCCCATTTGGGCTCATGAACGCACCTGCAGCGTTCCAGCGCTGTATGGAACAGTGCTTAGAGGGCTTAAGGGATGAAATATGTGTGCCTTATCTCGATGACGTTCTTGTGTTTAGCAAAACCTTTGAGGATCATATCAGTGATTTCAGAAGGGTGCTGCGACGACTGAGGGGACATGGGATAAAACTGAAACCCAAGAAATGTGACCTGTTTAAAGCGGAAGTACGGTACCTTGGGAGGATTGTGTCTGCTGAGGGAAACAGGATGGACTCTGCTGGTACTGCTGCAGTAAGGGCTCTGAAAGACAAGCAGCCAGGTAGTGTTGGTGAACTAAGAGCAATATTAGGACTGTTGAGTTATTACCGGCAGTACATCAAGGATTTTTCAAGGATTTATTGCCTGCCCCTTGTATGACCTGCTTAAAAAACCTGCAGAGACTGAGACCTTGCAAAACAAAAAGAGGAAGTGGCAAACAAAACGAAACAGCAAATCCAACACACCCATTGAGGGGACTGATGCACACCAGTCAATACTGGAACAGTTGATAGACTGTCTCATTCAGCCTCCTTGTTCTAGGCTTCCCAGAGTTTTCACAGCCTTTTATCCTCCATACTGACGCTTCCAACCAAGGACTAGGTGCAGTTTTGTATCAAAGGCAGAATGGGAAGCTTCGTGTAATTGCTTATGGCTCCCATACTTTAACTGCAGCAGAGAAAAATTACCATCTACATTCAGGCAAGTTAGAGTTTTTAGCTCTTAAGTGGGCAATCACAGAGAAATTTCGTGATTATCTATACTATGCACCATTCTTCATGGTCTACAGTGACAATAATCCACTTACCTATGTGCTGTCCACTGCTAAACTGAATGCAACAGGGTGCCAATGGGTAGCAGAACTAGCAGATTTCCATTTCACGATCAAATACCGCCCTGGTAAAGAAAATATTGACGCAGACAGTCTGTCCAGAATGCCTTTGGATGTGGAGACATTCATGAAAGAGTGTTCAGAGGAAATGGCATATGATGTGATTAGTGCAGCTACAGACAGGCAGTGGAAAATCAGGATGAATCCAACCTGTCTTGGTCCATTGGCGTTTCAGTTGAATGTGCGGCAGTTGCTACAGGCACATCCCTCATTCCACTAACAACAGGACAAATTAAACACGACCAGAGGAATGATCCCACTGTTGGATCGGTGGTTCAGTTCAGACTGGCTGACAAAAAGCCATCAGGTCAAGAACTAAAACAACTCAGTCCACAGATCACATGTCTTCTCAGAGAGTGGGACAAACTGGAAATTAATGAAAGTGGAGTGTTGTACAGGAAAACTGCAAACAGAAAACAATTGGTGCTTCCTGAAAAATATAAAAGTACAGTGTTAAAGGAACTTCACAATGAGATGGGCCACCAAGGTGTTGACAGGACAACATCACTGATACGAGACCGATTTTACTGGCCCTACATGCAGCGAGAGATAGAGGATTATGTCGCAAGAAGATGTGTGTGCCTAAAACACAAGAAGCCAAATCATGAGACAAGAGTACCGCTGACAAGCATTGTCACCACTCAACCGTTTGAGCTTATCTCAGTGGATTTCTTGCACCTTGATAAATGTAAAGGTGGTTATGAATATATTCTTGTAATAAGTGACCATTTTACACGTTTTGCACAAGCTTACGTCACAACTTCAAAATCAGGCAAAACAGCGGCAGACAAAATATTTAATGACTATGCATTGAAATTTGGCTTCCCAACAAGGATACACCACGATCAGGGGGGTGAATTTGAAAATCAACTGTTCACACAACTGAAAAAGTACTGTGGAGTTGCTGGGTCGAGAACTACTCCCTACCACCCTCAAGGGAACGGACACGTAGAGCGGTTTAACCGAACACTACTCCAGATGTTGAAGACCCTCACAGAGAGACAAAAGACTAACTGGAAAGACTCACTAAACAAACTGATGTACGCGTACAATTGTACTGACAGCGAAGTGACTGGTTTCTCGCCATTTTACCTGTACGGGCGTTCCCCGCGACTGCCAGTTGACATGTTGTTCAACTTGACCTCGGGAACAAGGAAACTGTAATCACCGTAACTACATGGAGAAGTGGAAGCAAGGCATGGAAGAAGCCTATGAGATCACTAGAGAAAATGCTCATAAAGCTGCTGTAAGAAGTAAGAGACATTATGACAGTAAAGTGAAAAGCTCAGTATTACAGCCTGGTGATCATGTCTTAATCAGGAACATGACATCCCGTGGTGGTCCAAGAAAACTGAGGAGCCACTGGGAGGATACTATCCACACAGTTGTGCACCAAGTGAGTAAAGACATCCCTGTTTATGAACTGAGGCCTGAGAAAGGAAGAGGGAGATCAAGGATCTTGCATCACAATCTTCTCCTCCCATGTGACTACCTGCCACTGGAAACCTCAGTACAGCCACGAGCGAGGCAGAGAAATGTGGAGGAAATCGAGGAAGCAGAGCAGTCAGAGGAAGAGGACGATGATGAGTATTATCCAGTTCCACTTCAGCACCAATCTGAACCGTGCCTGTCTGAGACAATCAATCCTATGCGTACTAGTACACCTCCCAAGCTTGAACGCATACAATCTGAAGAAAACATGCCACCTGAGCCTGAGAAAGAACAAGCGTTGGATCAAAGAGAAAACTCACAGGTGAGAGAGGACAGTTATGTTGAGGACCTGCAATTGGAGGACGCTGCTCCTTCGTCTGTGCCAAGTGATCTCAGTGGTGAGGAGTGTCAGCGGCCTAGACGTCAACATAGACAGCCCAAGATCTTCACATATGACCGGCTCGGCTCACCGGCCTGTTACAACCTTAGGACACTACAGCGGCAAGACTGTATGGTGCCATGGACATACACTGTGCAGCCATACCACTTCTGGCACACCCGACATTAGAGACGTGGAAGACAGAAACATTGCACGCCACTGAACTGAGTTAGTACATATACATTACACTCAAAATGGACTCCACATTTAACATGGACTGTTGCACATGACTGTGGTGTAACTGTGGTTACACTCAACATACACATTTATATGACATTGTTGCAGTCAGTCACATCACATTCATGGACCTTTATTAAAGGCAAGTGAAATTAACTTGGACATACTATAAGAACCGTTAACAAGGCGGCAATGAACTCTGTGTAACTACGTGGACACTGTAGGTCAGAACAAGTCCCGAAACAGAGAACAAGGACACTGAGGGACACTGGGTGTTATCCGAGTATAAAAGAATGTTTGAAAAGAGTTCCAGTCTGTAATATTGCACTATATAAGAGAAAATGCAGCTGAATTGTTGGTCTAAAATAGTGGTACATTGTGTATCTATTAATGTTGTAAGGTTTAACTCCTTGTTTGCACTAAAGGTCAAAGGTTAAGATGTTGGGGACAGCATCTATTTTGAGGGGGAGTATGTGACAAGTTGTATGTAACAATTTATTCCAAAATACAATTTATTTTGAGTTAAATATAATTCATCTGAAAAGCTAATTTCAGTTTGATATTATCACAGTTATTATAGTATCTATTTTAAAAGATGTAATTTCATTTATGGTAGTTGTGAATGTATATGAAGAATATGCAACGAGAGAGTAATACCAAGAAGGGGAATGCAGATAGGTAATACAGATCCTTATCTGTGTGGTTTAATGGTTCGTCGATCTGTTGGTAATGCCTCGGGGCTCCAGTAGGGGGATCGCGCTCCTCTTCCTCATTCAATACAGACGAGTGAAGGAAAGAGCTGCGTGTGTTTTCCTCATCCTTCTCCCGTTACTATTCCCCTTTTTAAGGTAATTACCGTTTGCAAAGCACTGTATACTTATACTATACTTAGTATTTTTCTTTATGTTACTCTGGTTTTAAATGCATGGAAAAGATGTTTTTGTTGGACTTATTTGTTGTTTAGTTTCTTACCAACTCAGACGTGTAAGCTAGCAGCCGGATACCTCGTGGCCACGAAGTGTGTTACTGTTTCATTTATATATTTATATATTTGTGTCTAGTTCATGTCATAATGACGAAAATTGATAAGTCAACATGTTAAAAATACATTTCATTATTCAAAAGTCCCATGATAATTTAGATTGTTAAAAATATAATTTACATGTCGTGTTTATTTGGTTAAAACAATAATTTAGATGATTTAGAACATGTTAAAAAGACACTGATGATATTTGTGGTCCTAAAACTGAGTGTGCATATGTATACATTTGTCTGTTGTTTGTTTAAATTAAGATTCAATACAGACGAGTGAAGGAAAGAGCTGCGTGTGTTTTCCTCATCCTTCTCCCGTTACTATTCCCCTTTTTAAGGGTACAACAATTATATTATATTACATTACAGTAATGTTATTATATTATATTATATTACAGTAATATTATATAACATTATATTACAGTAATGTTATTATATTATATTAGTTATGTTATTATATTACATTAATGTTATTATATTATATTATATTATATTAGTTATGTTATTATATTACATTACAGTAATGTTATTTTATTATATTAGTTATGTTATTATATTATATTACAGTAATGTTATATAATATAATATAATATATTACAGTAATGTTACACACTGGAGCTTTCAGTCAACTGGATGTTGATGACTTTGGTCGGGGAGGGGAGACGGGGCTGACCTTGCGGACGTAGTTGTGGTCGGGGTGGTACTTCGGGGGCATCAGCAGCAGGATTAGTCGCTCTGTGAGCTGGATCCCATTCAGTGACATCACACCCATGTAGAGGAAGATCCCAAACAGCACCGCCAAAGGAATCTGACGCAGAACCTCCCCAATCACGATGGACAGACCTGAGAGGGCGGAGAGGAACCAGATCAGCCGCAGTAAAGACAGTAACAGCAGCAGTAATGGTTGTAGGACACTGTAGACAGTCGTACCCACTAAAACAGCCACCAGGAAGCCCGTCACCCGCTGCTCCTTCACCTCCTGGATGCGGGGCTTGTCTCCGGGGGCGACGGATTTGCTCATGACAGTGAGGGCATTGGTGTGGGTGACTGAGCGGACTGTGGCGGCGGATAACCAGGGCAATCCAAACAGCGCCGAAACTCCGCCCACCACCACGATGATGAGGAGGTCCAGGTGAAAACCAGTTCCCTTCACCAGCATCCTCTCCTTCTTACTGACAATCAGCCTAACGGACAGACAGACGCAGGAAACATGAGATAGCTTGTTTCCAGTCAGGTGGATTTAATCATGTTAGAGAGACAATTACAACATATGTTAGCTCTGATGTTGTTATATCGCTCTCTTAAGAGCCACCATACTCCTTCACTAGCAGTGTTTAAACTCCACCTGTCCTTCCAGCTCCCAGTCCGGTTACAGACAGCTAATAGCGCGGCTAACTACTTCCTGTGTTACAGGAGAAAATGATCGTGTTGGAACAATCCTCTGATACTTTGGTCCCAGGGACGAGGAGCAGCTCCTGAATGCAGTCTAATGTCGGTTTGGTTTCTCTGAGACTGTCAGACTGAAAGTGTCACTGAGACTCTGAACGATGATTATGAGATTATGTTATCTGCTGCAGATCGAGGCAGTGGTGAACAGAAACTGTGTGTTTTGTGAGATCAAGTTTTAATCAAAGGAGTCTGGTGGCTTTGGAAGAAACATCCAGGATCAATATAACTACTTATAACACATATGGAGACAAGAGGAAAGTGTTGTACGCTGTGATCTGGGACTCCATGAAGATGAGGATGAAGACAAGGATGGCCGGCAGGATGCTGGCGGCCATCATCCAAACAGGAAACTCCCCGTCTGACCCCAGAGGAGAAATCAGCCAACCACGCTTCTCTGGACTGGACACCGAGAATCCACTGGGCACGTTCAGTTTCTGACAACAACAAGAAGAGAGGAGTTTAAATAGCGGGTCAACACAGTCGAGATGTTCCGATACCATTTTCCATTTAAGGCAGTATGGAAGGAATATCTGGTATCGGAACAAGTCTACAACACAGGATCGTCTTTATGAGTGTTAAACCCTGACCTGGGTGTAGGTGTCCTCCACACTGTAGTCCACCAGCACCATGAGGAGGATAGCAATGGGGACCCCAAAGTCTCCAATGATCCTACGGAGCTAGAACATACAGTTCATTGATCAGTGATGTGACACCGTACATCCCCAAAGTTAAGACCATAACTGTCTACTTGAGGAGATTATTTAAGTGCACAAGACTCATGGGAGTTGTAGTTGTTGATAAGACTGATGATTCTGTTTCCCCAGTAAACAGTGTATGAACTCTAGAGCTATGTTCTATATGGAGCTGATTCAATCAATAATCTATAATCATTAAACAGTGTATAAACTCTGTGTTGAATTCTTACATTATCTCAAATGTTTCCAAAAATGTTCAAACTCAGAGAAATGTCATTTTTTTCTATAGCTGTAGAAACCTGTCTGTAGCTGTAGAAACCTGTCTGTAGCTGTAGAAACCTGTCTGTAGCTGTAGAAACCTGTAGAAACCTGTAGAAACCTGTCTGTTGCTGTAGAAACCTGTCTGTAGCTGTAGAAACCTGTAGAAACCTGTAGAAACCTGTCTGTATGTGTAGAAACCTGTCTGCTCCTGTAGAAACCTGTAGAAACCTGAATGTACCTGTAAAAAGCTGTCTGTACCTGTAGAAACCTGTCTGTACCTGTAAAAACCTGTCTGTACCTGTCTGTACCTGTCTGTACCTGTAGAAACCATGGAGCTGAATCAATCAATAATCTATAATCATTAGACAGTATATAAACTGTTTAATTCTTACATTATCCCAAATGTTTCCAAAAATGTTCAAACATTAGAGAAAGAGATGTCAAAAAAATGTCATTTTTTTCTATAGCTGTAGAAACCTGTCTGTACCTGTCTGTACCTGTAGCAACCAGTAGAAACCTGTCTGTACCTGTAGAAACCTGTCTGTAGCTGTAGAAACCTGTAGAAACCTGTCTGTAGCTGTAGAAACCTGTAGAAACCTGTCTGTACCTGTCTGTGGCTGTAGAAACCTGTCTGTACCTGTCTGTACCTGTCTGTACCTGTAGAAACCTGTCTGTAGCTGTAGAAACCTGTAGAAACCTGTCTGTACCTGTCTGTGGCTGTAGAAACCTGTCTGTACCTGTCTGTACCTGTCTGTACCTGTAGAAACCTGTCTGTACCTGTAGAAACCTGTCTGTACCTGTCCGTACCTGTAGAAACCTGTCTGTACCTGTCTGTACCTTTAGAAACTTGTCTGTACCTGTCTTTAGCTGTAGCAACCTGTGGAAACCTGTAGAAACCTGTAGAAACCTGTCTGTAGCTGTAGAAACCTATCTGTACCTGTAGAAACCTGTCTGTACCTGTAGAAACCTGTCTGTAGCTGTAGAAACCTGTTTGTAGCCGTAGAAACCTGTCTGTAGCTGTAGAAACCTGTAGAAACCTGTCTGTACGTGTAGAAACCTGTCTGTACCTGTCTGTAGCTGTAGAAACCTGTCTGGAGCTGTAGAAACATGAAGAAACATGTCTGTACCTGTAGAAACCTGTCTGTACCTGTAGAAACCTGTAGAAACCTGTCTGTACCTGTCTGTAGCTGTAGATACCTGTCTGTACCTGTCTGTAGCTGTAGAAACCTATCTGTACCTGTAGAAACCTGTCTGTACCTGTAGAAACCTGTCTGTAGCTGTAGAAACCTGTTTGTAGCCGTAGAAACCTGTCTGTAGCTGTAGAAACCTGTAGAAACCTGTCTGTACGTGTAGAAACCTGTCTGTACCTGTCTGTAGCTGTAGAAACCTGTCTGGAGCTGTAGAAACCTGAAGAAACCTGTCTGTACCTGTAGAAACCTGTCTGTACCTGTAGAAACCTGTAGAAACCTGTCTGTACCTGTCTGTAGCTGTAGATACCTGTCTGTACCTGTCTGTAGCTGTAGAAACCTATCTGTACCTGTAGAAACCTGTCTGTACCTGTAGAAACCTGTCTGTAGCTGTAGAAACCTGTAGAAACCTGTCTGTACCTGTCTGTAGCTGTAGAAACCTATCTGTACCTGTAGAAACCTGTCTGTACCTGTCTGTAGCTGTAGAAAAACGCAGAAACCTGTCTGTACCTGTAGAAACCTGTCTGTACCTGTAGAAAGCTGTCTGTAGCTGTAGAAACCTGTCTGTACCTGTCTGTAGCTGTAGAAACCTGTCTACCTGTAGAAACCCGTAGAAACCTGTCTGTACCTGTAAAAACCTGTCTGTAGCTGTAGAAACCTGTCTGCACCTGTCTGTACCTGTAGAAACCTGTAGAAACCTGTCTGTTCCTGTAGAAACCTGTCTGTAGCTGTAGAAACCTGTCTGTACCTGTCTGTACCTGTCTGTACCTGTCTGTAGCTGTAGATACCTGTCTGTACCTCTCTGTAGCTGTAGAAACCTGTAGAAACCTGTCTGTAGCTGTAGAAACCTGTTTGTAGCTGTAGAAACCTGTCTGTACCTGTCTGTACCTGTCTGTACCTGTCTGTAGCTGTAGATACCTGTCTGTACCTCTCTGTAGCTGTAGAAACCTGTAGAAACCTGTCTGTAGCTGTAGAAACCTGTTTGTAGCTGTAGAAACCTGTCTGTAGCTGTAGAAACCTGTAGAAACCTGTCTGTACGTGTAGAAACCTGTCTGTACCTGTCTGTAGCTGTAGAAACCTGAAGAAACCTGTCTGTACCTGTAGAAACCTCTAGAAACCTGTAGAAACCTGTCTGTAGCTGTAGAAACCTGTCTGTACCTGTCTGTAGCTGTAGATACCTGTCTGTACCTGTCTGTAGCTGTAGAAAACTGTCTGTACCTGTAGAAAGCTGTCTGTACCTGTAGAAACCTGTCTGTACCTGTCTGTAGCTGTAGAAACCTGTCTACCTGTAGAAACCCGTAGAAACCTGTCTGTACCTGTAAAAACCTGTCTGTAGATGTAGAAACCTGCCTGTGGCTGTAGAAACCTGTCTGCACCTCTCTGTACCTGTAGAAACCTGTCTGTTCCTGTAGAAACCTGTCTGTACCTGTAGAAACCTGTCTGTAGCTGTAGAAACCTGTAGAAACCTGTCTGTACCTGTCTGTACCTGTCTGTACCTGTCTGTAGCTGTAGATACCTGTCTGTACCTCTCTGTAGCTGTAGAAACCTATCTGTACCTGTAGGAACCTGTACAAACCTGTCTGTTCCTGTAGAAACCTGGCTGTACCTGTAGAAACCTGTAGAAACCTGTCTGTTCCTGTAGAAACCTGTCTGTACCTGTAGAAACCTGTCTGTAGCTGTAGAAACCTGTCTGTACCTGTAGAAACCTGTCTGTAGCTGTAGAAACCTGTACAAACCTGTCTGTTCCTGTAGAAACCTGTCTGTACCTGTCTGTAGCTATAGAAAACTGTCTGTACCTGTCTGTAGCTATAGAAACCTGTAGAAACCTGTCTGTACCTGTAGAAACCTGTCTGTAGCTGTAGAAACCTGTCTGTAGCTGTAGAAACCTGTCTGTAGCTGTAGAAACCTGTAGAAACCTGTCTGTACCTGTAGAAACCTGTCTGTAGCTGTAGATACCTGTCTGTACCTGTCTGTAGCTGTAGATACCTGTCTGTACCTGTCTGTAGCTGTAGAAACCTATCTGTACCTGTAGGAACCTGTACAAACCTGTCTGTTCCTGTAGAAACCTGGCTGTACCTGTAGAAATCTGTAGAAACCTGTCTGTACCTGTAAAAACCTGTCTGTAGCTGTAGAAACCCGTAGAAACCTGTCTGTAGCTGTACCTGTCTGTAGCTGTAGCCGTAGCTGTAGCTGTCTGTAGCTGTAGCTGTCTGTAGAAACCTGTCTGTAGCTGTAAAAACCTGTAGAAACCTGTCTGTACCTGTAAAAATCTGTCTGTACCTGTAAAAATCTGTCTGTACCTGTAGAAACCTGTCTGTACCTGTAGAAACCTGTAGAAACCTGTCTGTACCTGTAGAAACCTGTCTGTAGCAATCTGTAGCTGTACCTGTCTGTACCTGTAGAATCATGTCTGTACCTGTCTGTAGCTGTACCTGTCTGTACCTGTAGAATCATGTCTGTACCTGTCTGTACCTTTAGAAACCTGTCTGTAGCTGTAGCTGTCTGTAGCTGTCTGTAGAAACCTGTCTGTAGCTGTACTTATATGTACTAACCCTGCCAGGGAAGAAGGAGCTGTTCTTGAACTTGCGCAGGTAGAAAGCGATGAAATATGTTCCCGCCATGAGCACCAGTGACAGCAGGGCTGTGTTTGGTTCTCCAACAACCTTCCCAGGATTCCCGGCGGCTGTGGTGTAGTTGCACAGAGAGGGAGATACTGTGTTGTTTCCATGGTAACAGTTTTGGAGAGGATGCTCCTGAAAGATCTGGAATAGACCAACAGAAAGAAGAAGAAACTGTAGCTAAGCTAACTGGTGTTGGTTGCTTCGTGGTGTTGGCTGATGGGTGATTGGTAAACGGCGAGCTAGTTAGTAGCATGGAGCTAATGGTCCAAATAAAATATAGGATCATTTCAGATAGTAACGTTATTCTAAATATTATTGTCAGTTACTTTACAGCGTTCAGTGTTTGTCACTGACGCCCAGGATGATGCTCGCTCAGATGTATGTAACCTTTTAGATAAAATTTCACATTTTATTCATGTATCCATCCGTGCCTTGTCTTCAGACTACTACTTAAGCCACATCTGTCATAAAGCCCAAGGTCTTGCTCGTTGCTGACCTGTGACCTCTGACCTCACCTTGACCAGTTTGGCGAAGGTCTCGTAGATGAAAATGAGGGAGATGAGGAAGGAGAAGATCTCCTGAGTGAAACGGGAGACAAAGCGAACCAGGATGCTTCCCTCGAAGGCCACAGTGAGGAGAACGATCAGCACCAGCCAGAAACCGATCCACACCCTTCCTGTCAGATACTCGATCCCATTGTCTTTACAAAACTGCACATGAGCACACATTTTAGGGCACAGTGAACAAGTTAGCTAAAAACATACTTTCCTTTGCAGTAGCTTTCTGGATCAATTGATATGTGATCCTGGGATGTTTTATTTGAATAGGGAGTTACTGTAGTATAGATGGACAGAATAAAAGCATGAATGATCATCTCCATATTATCTTCAAACACATAGGCTTGAGTTTAGCAGTTCCTCAAAAACAGGAATAACACTTAATATGATGCTGAAGAGTCAGTGCCTGGTTGATGGTAGATTTAACACAGATTTAACAATTCAGGACAAAAAAACCTGAGTAGAACATTTACAACCAAAGCAAGCTGCACCTAGACGATCTTTGAACAGGGACCATCCATATACAATGATTTCTTCAAATGTGACTGAAGTTCCATTTGTAGGCAATAAGGAGGAAGGCCACAAGATGTGGTTGAAAACCTTGGAAAAAAGAGTAAGTGTTTTCCTAAGTGTTGAGCCTTATTATCTGATCAAAGGGAAGCAAGGCAACCAAAAGAGGACCCAGGTTAGAACCCTGGGGCATGCCACAGATGTTTCAAGGGTTATAGACCTGATGCTGTAGGAAAATTCACAAAGAAAAAAAACTGTTAAAAAAGTTAAATGAAAAGTGTCTCTAGTGTGTTCTATGGACAATCTAGAGTAACTAGGACTGTTTCAGTTCTTGCTTCAGTTTGTCACATTTAACACAAGTGTGTAGACTTTCTGTCAGGTGAGCTCACAGTGTAGAAGGCCTCTTCAAAAACAAGCAGTGGTCCGGAAAAGCCGATCACCAGCAGAGGCTGAGCACCCAGCACACTGAACACTATGCCCTGCAGCGCCGTGGCAACTATCAGCTCCGACACACCAATCAGACCCTCTGTTTTCTCACCTGCGTCACAGGAAAGAGATAATAGCTATAAAACCTTTATAGTCCAAGAAACTTAATTGTGAAGATTTAAGAAGAGTCTTTGAGAATCCAGGCAGCTGAAACTTGGTCAACCAAACCTCACCAGGTAGTTCTGGTAGTCTCTGTTACTGTTTCTGGAATCTGGACTCACCCAAAAGTCCACCAAAGGTAATGGCAGGCGACAGCGCAGCAAAGTAGATGAAGATGATAGCGGCCATGCACTGAGGGTTCAGAGCATCACGAAGGTCGCTGAGGTACTGAGGGTACCGTCGAGTCACGTCTTTGATCAGACCTCCGAAAAAACGTCCTGATCGTCTCAGGGGCTCATCACCAGGTTTGGAAGGAACGAGGGAATCTATAATTCAAAAAAATTAGTCCTATCATTGCACATAACTCCAAAACATCAACATAATGCTGTTAAAAGGTCCTCTCATGACAACTGACCTTCATCGTGCTGAATGCTGCTCTGTTTCTCCTGCAGTTTGCCGCTCTGCTCCTCCACCCTCTTTCTAAGCATTTCTCGTTGGAAGCGAGCGACCGAGTGGAGCAGCTCGTCACCGCCGACCTCCGAGGGAGGAAGGACGACACTGCAGTCCAAAAACCGGTTGATGGCTGACAGCAGGTCCTGGCGGTCGTCAGCCTGGTACGCTGCCTCGTGGAAGTGCTAAAGGAGCAGACAGAGGTAGAGTTCTTTATACAATATTTACCACATTACATGGGTTCAAGGTAGTACAGCATTATTTGGTGGCAGACAGACCTAACTGCTGGGTAGGGATGGGAATCAAGAACCAGTTCTTCTTCAGAACCGGTGCCCAGTGAATTGATTCCTTGGAACCATTAGCGTGCCTGCTTAACGATTCTGCCTATCGGTTCCGCTCGTTGCAAATGCGTCATGGCAGAACCGCTCTAAAGTTTGGTTATATTTCACAAATATCTGCTTGCGTGTCCCCTATGTCCTCCTTTTTGATGTGAAGGAAATGGCCACCCTATTTCAGTCTGTATTTTTAGTTTTTATGGCACATAATGTCAGTTGGGCTTAAAAAGCCAAACATTTATTTTTTTGTCTGGACCAATTAATGTGAAAATTAACAATTTCCTAATCCTAAGGCACTATTGATAATCTTTCAAGGCACACACTGCGTGCCATGGCGTACTGGTAGAGAAACACTGCCTAGGCTATGGGTCCCTGGACTTTACTTTGAGAAGTAGCTCACCTACTTTTAGGTTTGTTCTGAGGTTGCTACACATAATTTGTGTATACTCTGTGCTGTGTCTTCTGATCAGATATTAAAGCGAGTTAATACAAACAAACAAATTTGTACTTATTCCCTCACCCAATGAGAATCGATAAGAGAATGGATAAGAGAATCGATAAGAGAATCGGATTGATAAGCAATATTGATAATGGAATCGGAATCATTAAATTCTTATCAATTGCCATCCCTACTGCTGGGACTTACCTTGTCTGACATGAGTGTGGAGATGGAGCGTCCGATCTGGTGGTAGTCAATGTTGGCGGTAGGTGGGCCTAGCAGGAGGAAGAGGAACCTCACGGGGACAGGAACCTCCAGGACAGACTCCAGAAGAACTGCCTCTTGCAGCCGCACAAATGCCATGGAGGGTTGGTCCAGGAAGCCAACACTGCCTGCAGACACACAGAGGGACGCACTAAACCCACTTAACCTGCTCTGAGGATGGACTCCTGAATAAAAATGTGTTTGTGATGCGTACCAACGAGGACAACGGTGGCCTCGGCTCTCTCTGGGATCTTCTCCATCAGCTTCACTTCATGTTTGGATCTGGAGTGACCCAGGGGCGGGGCTTCTTTCTGAACACAATGGAAGTGAAGAATAAAGTCAGTGAATCCGAACAGGTTCATAGTTCTGTCTTACACTCCCATGGCTCCTCATAAACTGCTATACTGATGGCACCAAGTTATTTTTCTCCAGTCTCTCATCTGACATTGAGGTGTAGGTGAGAGTGCTCAAACTGGACAGGCTAATGGCAGCTACAACAACAGTTAGTGGAATTGAGGCAGAGCATAAGTGAATATTTATTTGTACAGTGATAATAAAGTTGTGTGTTTAAAAAAGTGTGTTTGTGTGTTTGTTCTGTGATAAAGTTTTTTCTTCAACAGTTGACAACCAACAGACAACTTTCTACAGAAGGTAGACTTATGTGGTTGATACCTTGTTCTCGCCATCAGCCTCTTTGTGATTGGTCAGATTGTTGGACGGCTCTGATTGGCCATTGTGTCTGTCCATCAGGGCGGCCATGTTGGCTGCAGAGATGTTCTTGCTGAACAAGCTATGATCTTTCTCATCACTGGGGTGACTGAACATAGAAACAGAAATATATGGTATATTTGCTTGATGAATGAAGGATGAACAAGTACAGATGGATGGATTGATGGATGGATATTGATTGATTGATATATTTTGGACATGAACCTGTGTCTGAGCAGCAGAGCTTTGAGGACGTTGGCTCTGTCTTCAGCTTTGATCTGATCTGAGATCACCATCTGCTCCACCACCTGCTGAGCGATTCCTGGCAGAGTCCTCTGCTTCAGATCCAGGAGCACCGCCCCTGGAAACATCACACTCTGACATCACACTCTGACATCACACTCTGACATCACTACAGACCTAAAAACGAGAGGGATCAATAAATTACAAAACTCACATCCTCTTACGTCCAGTCACATAAATGAACAGATGGTAATATGGGGGGGTGTCTGACATGAATCCCTTTATTTATCCCTTAAATAGGTCTTTAAATAATCTAAATTCAATTCAGTTTTATTTGAAAGTGTAAATTTATAACAAACATTATCTCTCGACAGTTTTCAAATATAGCAGGTCTAGACTCTACTTCATTCAGGGATATATATATATATATATATAGGGATTTATTTTATATATATATATATATATATATATATATATATATATATATCCCTCAATATATTCCAGATCCCACATCTGGTAAACGTTGAATAAGAATTAAATTAAAATCTCAAAACAACATGTTTTAAGAGTTTTAGTTTTACTTTAGGAAAAACTTTAAGATTTCTGGCTACAAACAAACTAATTCTGATTCATGAAATTAATTGTGTGCTTTCGGGGAGTAAAGGGCTAATTAAGGGGATTTTAAGGAAAGTTTAACTTAAGGTTTTCCACAGGGGGGCAGCAGAGATCCTCCTCACCGTGGGAGATAGTT